GGGGGGGGGGGGGTAAAGAATATGAATATTCTAAGAAAAAAAATCGAATAATAACGTCAAGGTTTGATTTTCTTTAAACACAAATTTTAAGCGGAAACCTTGGAAGACTGAACTTGAGGTACACAAAATACTTACGTAAGATTTTTTTTACATTACCGAATCAGTTTTTTCAAAAAAAAAAAAAAAAAAAAAAAAAAAAAAAAAAAAAAAAAAAAAAAAAAAAAAATAACGTTAACATCTGCGGAAAAATATAGAGTTCGGTCGTGATATTCCGTGACATTGCATGGTATGGTATCGTGGCGTGCGCAATTCTTAATGAGCCATGATGCATTATGTAAAAGTCTAATTTTAAATGAGATCCGAGAGGTTATTTTGCACGTACTGAAATAAGATGGTTTAAATATGTTCCAATAATCTTCAAAAAAAAATTTAAAAATATTAGAAGACTCGAGTAATGTTGAATAAAAAACTAAATCAAATTTTTCCTTCAAAAGGGTAAAAAAAAGAAACTTACCCCTTTAAGCCGGTTTCGATAGTTTATAATCCCTCACGAGCAGATCCGGTTACTAAAAACACAGTAATTCCTCACAACACAATCAAAATAATGTGAATCCAAAAACAACACCGATTTTCAGAACCTTTGAAGTACGTAACTAAACCGTGTAACCTGCATACATTTGACGTGTCAGTGACCCAATGAAGATCAAAGGGCCCTACACGTTTATGTTATCTTCAGCTGAGCACCGGCGAAATTACACTCCTCTTTCAAAGGACTGTGTCGTAACACTCCAAAGACGATAGCCTTGCGTGAAATGGGTGGAAGTGTGGAACGGGTGTTCTCTGATCGCGCGTCCAGCGTTTCGCTTCGGCCGGTCTAGTGTGAACGATCGAGAAAAAGCTATTGGTCGATTCGAAGGCCCGGCCCGGCTGGAGAGAAAATGGGATGAGGAAAGAATAGCGGACCGCGAGAAGAGAGAGGGAAAGATAGTTGCGGCTTTAAAAAAATATCAAGTTGCGTAACCAATGATTACCTGTCCAGTTCATTGGTTTTCCAGCATCTCGTCGATAACTGACCAGCGTGTTGCATGCATTGGATTGGATTATGAGATCGGCCGCGCTGCGCGCCGGTTGAAATTAATGTTGGCGCTATGCGTCGTGAAATTTGAAGCTCTATCCCAGATTATAACGACCCAAGTACCTAACAGAAAGAAATTTTAAAGTTCTTGACAGAATTACGCATCTAAACAGGATTAACGGTCGGTAATTCTTTTCAAGGTATCTATTGATATAATTCTGTCAATATCTTTAGCATTTCTCCATCAAGTTTATTTTTTTCCAAGGAAAGAGAAGTAACCGAAATTGTGCTTGAAATTCAACTTCACAGAATTCTTTTTTTAAAATAAGATCACAGCAATTCCCAAGAAATCAGTTCGATTGGTTTTTAAGTAAATGAAAAAATTGTAGCGCTTTAGTTCTCAAATGAAAAAATTAAAAGCGCTTCGGTGCTACAAGTGAGTGCGCAAATGAAGCGCCTTCAGTTGCGCGTGATACCCTACGCATTGTCACGCAGTTAGTTTGGTGGCATACTGTAGCCGTGCTGAGCCGAAATCAACTTTAGGCTGCGAAAAGAATATTCCATGTTTTTTATTTCTGACATGCCCCTAGCCAGATTCTGATCAGAGTATTTTTCAATTAGAGCCAAACCAACATATAGCTTAACCACCTAGACGACCACCACGAAACCAGCCCCATGTTTGGGGTGTTGGGTGGGGCGAGACGGGTGGTAATTGAATAACCCCCCGGATTCTGGACCATGCCGGGTCCGGGGGAACAGGGTGGTTATACTGTCATGTTTTCGCGAAGTTTCGCCATTTTTCTCTCGGTTACACACACCAAAAAAAAAAAAAAAAAAAAAAAAAAAAAAAATTCTGACATGATTTTGGCTTGAAGCGCCCCGCGCCCTCTTGTAAAACTTAATTATCTCTGTTTGCAAAATGCTTTTGCCGATAATAATGGCTTGCAAACTTCAAGTATTTTTGTCGAAACACATATTTAGCTGTTAATGGGTTTTATATCTTAACAGTAGAATGGACGTTAATATTAAATAACGCGAGCTATTGAATTTAAGACAACATAGTATTTTCAGGTTTAGACAAAAGCTGTGTCAGATGCAAAAATATTACGCTCCTTTTATTCTTCAAAATTGTATTGTCATTGAAAGTTTTTTGTCGGCAGATTATCTTGTAACCTACTATTGCCAAAATGAGTTTTGCAGAAATTCCAGTGCTTTTATTTGTTTGTCACTCTATCCTCCTCTATTTTTTTCTCATTTCTATCATCATTATCTTTCAGTCCTAGGGACTTCTAGGCTATGAGGTCCAGGTGGCAGCCCTGGGCTCTTAATTCCAGAAAAAAAACTATCTTATTTTCCTTGAAGCTTTGCATAACTGCAGCAAGGCTGAGAGTGGCTTCATTAATTTTTGGACTTAAGTTCAAAGGACAATACCTAAAGTTGCAAATACCTCCTTGAGGTTTTTGAAGTTAATCTTGGAACACCCTCCATCGTGAGGGATCACAATGGCCTGAATTGCATCTTATGAGTATCCGAATTTTGACAAGTTACAGAATGATACAGACAACAGCACAAGCGCAGGCATTGTATAGAGGGTATGATGTATCAAAATAAATAAAGCAAGCATGTTAGAAGAATATAAATTTATTTAGCAAAACATAAAAATATAACAGATTTGAAAATTATCAACAATCTGATTAAAATATGTATTTTTCAATTTTTTCCCCTCCTGTGATTCATTTTATTGTTAGAAAATTTTAAGCAATATAATCAGCCATTGAGATAGAGTTTTTCATTTGCTAACAGATCACCAGATTTGTCATTTAAAAGCAGTTGGTCATAAAATCTTATATATCGACGGTGAAACTACCAAACCACGTATCTCGGTTTGCGACGTCGCAGACTTCCTGTCATACTTTATTTTTTAAATGAAAAACTATTTAACGTCCAGTCTTGAAAATTTCTGTGATTTTTCCTCTTCGCGCGGAGAAAATTCTGTGAAAATTTCAAGGAATGATATTGATTCGGTCTACTTCCAAAAAATAAAATGTGAGCGTAGATTTTTAAACACCGCAAACGAGATACGTGGTTTGGTAGTTTCACCGTCGGTATCTCGTTTGCGGTGTTTAAAAATCTACGCTCGCATTTTATTTTTTTGAGGTAGACCAAATCAATATCATTCCTTGAAATTTTCACAGAATTTTCTCCGCCCGAAGAGGAAAAATCACAGAAATTTTCAAGACTGGACGTTAAGTAGTTTTTCATTTAAAAAATAAAGTATGACAGGAAGTCTGCGACGTCGCAAACCGAGATACGTGGTTTGGTAGTTTTACCGTCGATATATGTGGCTGTCTACAGGACCAAAGTCTGCAAAAATAAAAATCGAGGTATTTTTACCAGAGCAAAGAGAATAGCTTTATGAACACAAAGAAAGCCTAAAAATATTAACAGGATATAGAAGGGTTTGAAGTTTCCAGTTCAAAAAATGTAGATGTTTTTAAGAAAAAGTTACTTGTCATTCTAATCTGCACCACGTTTAGAGCCTGAATGTGCTCGATTAAAATGCACTATAATGCCTTCTGCCGGTACAAAAATGAACCAATCCACTTACCATGTAGTTCTCAGAACACTGGGGTGGGGAGAGATCTCTGTCGAAATCTCAAAATCTGATTTTAGGACCCGAGGCGACAAAAATATCTCTACCTACCAGGAATTTTGCCTCATGAACCAGGTAATCAACTCCATTTTGCCATGGACTATCACATATTACAAATATTTTCATTTTACATACATAAATTCAATAGTTTAAGCGCTGAAGAAAAAAATTATCTAAAACAGGTGAAGGGTACCCAATTATGCATACTTTCACCATATTTAAATTTTCAAGTACATTTAGTCACGATACCACAACAAAAAGTTGAGAGCTCTCAGACAGGTTACATGAATGCCAAAGATAAGATATGCTAAGTTCCATACTTAATTGCATTCGATTTTCGAACACATTCAACTGCTCTCAATTGGTAATTTTTTATTTGATCGATATTCATTTTTCTAAAAGTATGAAAGCTCTTTGGTAGATGTAGGTTGAATTTTAGAATGAACAAAAGACAACTAACTTTGTAGGCCGAAGCTGATTTTCCATTTTTCTTCATTCCCCAGCTGTGTTATTCGGAATTTCAGCAAGAGGGCTGAAGTAAATCGTCCAAAGTTGACTCATCCGAACTGGAAAAACAGAGTAAATATTCCCTCATTTCCCACAAATAGAAAAAAGATCCAATAAAACTCTCTACAATACGTTCTTTCATTAAACTTTTCTTATTTCTTGAGGAAATTTTTTTCTAAGGTCCTCATTACTACTATCATTAGAAGCATTAAATAAAACATAAGTTTTGATCATTCAGAGACTGGTAACAGCCTTTATACGACTAAAAAAATTGTATTTATACTTTTAAGTAGTTAGAATGAAATTTACAGAAGATATTTAATTACTGATTTGAGATCCAAATTTGAGATTCAATAAATACAAACTGAAGGCCTCTCTTCTTTTAGAAGTCCCTTTATTATCTTTCTGCTCTGCTCAGTGTTACAATCAGTTTTCCTTGGTAAATTGTTTCACTGACCGAGTATGCTTGTGAGGAATGCTCTTTTGAAGTAACAACTCTTGTAATTCAAAGATAGGGCTGCAAGTAAATGACAGAAAGAGGTGGAGTTTCAGGGTTTATAATTTGGAGGCGACCTTTTGATTTGTTCTAAGGGACTAAAGATTATTATAGGAGGATGTATCTTTACCAAAAGGAATTATCTACATCTGAATAAAATCAAACAGAACTACAAAGCACGCAAATTCAATGTGCATAGTTCTTTTTTATTTTATTATTTTCACAAAGTTGCTTTTAATTTGAATACATCTGACAACCTTTATGTGTGTAACATTCTAAGCTCAAGAGAACTCATCTGGTCCTAAGTGTGAGCCCCACATAACCGGTGGAGCTAAAATTTCATATCTGTGATTGTGTGTGCTGTCTCTCAAATACCTGGCCGTGTATTTTTTATCTGGGTCTGCATTCTGGTAATCAGTTAGGTAGGGCTCTTCAAGTAACTGGGCATTCATTTTTTTTATGAAGTAGATCCAGGCATCAACAGTTTTGGATTCAGTTGAGTTTTTGTCATTGTATATTTGGACTGGCTCAACTACCCTCTCATAGAAATGTGGATGTTCCTCTAGCTTGTCCAGATTAAGGAGCATGTCCTCATCGACTTCGTACAATTCTCCTTTGACTTGCTGGAACAGGACAAGAAACCAATATTTTCAAATAATCGAGAACAAGTTTTTTTTTTATTTTTTCTTTCAGAGGAACTGAACGAGTATAGAGTAGATTAGATACTTTAAGTTTGATAAGTCAAATTAATGGATAATATCTGAATTAAAATCCATCAATGGTCGTGCATACATACTTGGGTCAGCTTATTAATACTTATATACCTAAGTGCTTTAGAGGGCCGCTTGTTCCCTTTGCATTGTCAAGAGGACTACAGTACATAGTTATTCACAGTACCTCATTTATTTTACCTTATTTCAATTTTACCTTATTTCAATTTGAGTCTTGAACTGGTGTCAAGACTGTAGATCAAGTTAATAGATTCCACCTATCCTACCTCATTGTAGAATTCGACATCGGTCACCAAATTTTTAGCATTCTTTATTCTTAGCCTGAATTGTGCACCTAAGGTATACGAGCACAAAGATTCAAGTTTTAAGTTTTGTCCCTTAATTTTGAGCTGTTTTCGTTTCTATTGTCAATCTTTGATATTTTAATACGTTTGTCTTGAAATACATCTATTTTTAAAAGTATTCAATCGGGACTGGTGGCGGCAAAACGCATCTGGTTGGGTGGCAGCATAAGGATGATTTCAGTGTTAATATCTGTTGAGATAATTGACGCTTTTTAAACAAATCATTAGTTGAACAAAGGTTTGAAAGTTGTAAAACCAAACTTTGGTAGGAAAAATTTCATTTTACTCTCAATACGTGATGGCAGTACTTTTCAGTACTCTCAGTACTTTTGGCTTGCAATCATCTCATCTTCAAAATGGAAGTAAATATTGATATTTCCTGAGTTGAATATGGTTACTTACATTTCCAACATTGCGGCAAAATAATAAACATGGAATATGATACTTCGAAGCTACAACTAAGGGGAATTTGTCTACTGTGTGCCCTTCTCCAATGAAAGTCGCCTTGCCACGAACTTTGTCCAGCAACAATTCGTGATTTGGAAGATTCCTCTTCAAAGTGCCATAAACAAATACTTTAAAAGTTTTTGGACTAATTTGATCTGTGGATGCCTCAGTCATAGTTCTAATACTGAAAAGTCCCTGAAAAGAAAAGAGAAGAGAAAACTGAAAACACTTCTTTAAAAGCACCTGCTGCATAGAGTGATCTTTTCAAGGTAGCACAGAATTTATAAATCATCATTATGATGACAGTGAGCGGTGAATTTTAGAATTTGGGTTAAATGATGATTTAACCACAGGATACTGGGAGGTGTAGTTTTAGCTCTCAAATTCTTTAAATAAAATTTTTTTCTGTTTGTTTATTGTCTTCCACTCTCTCTTTTTGGTTTAATAAACTTGAAATAAAACTGTTAGGATGTGGGAGGGAAGGAATTTCTTTGTAGATATTTTTCCCCCCAAAATTTAACTGAAAAACTTTAAAAAAAACTTTAAAAATATTTACGGAGGTTTCTAGTCACTTGAAATGTATGAAGATAATATTTAAAAAAACTCAAAAATGAAATATCAATGTTTCAGAAACCTTTAACAAAAGTTTTCCTTGAAAAAATACTCAGTTAGGTGGTGGATACTTCACAACTTCATACTTAGTACATTTTAACATTTTTACCTAGTCTCTGAAAAGTGAATTTTAATACAGTCACTGACTGCTAATGAAAAAACAACAACATAACTTATGCATGAAAAAAGTATTGCCCTTTGTTTGCGATTGATTTCCATATAATGATAGTGAAACTGCAGAGACACATAGGTACCTATCTTGGGTTACAATGTTGCAGACTTCCTGCCGCACTTTATTGTTTAAATGGAAAAATACTTGCTATCATTTCTTGAAATCGTCCCTGATTTTTTTTCTTGTGTGAAGAATAATCTCTGAAAATTAGAGGCAATAACATTGGTTTGCTGCTTCTTTGATAAAGTAAAATCAGACTATCAAACTTTTCATCCGACATAATTAAACGAAAAGTTGGATGAAAGGTTGAACACAAAAAAATTTGATTTAATTACCCCCAGTACCTCCGTTCAACTTCACCATCGTTTGGACCGCCAATGGGATGGAGAGTTGAACGAAAAGTAGAATGTGATGTCACATTCAAGTTTCCATTCAATTTTTCATCAAATTTTCATTTTCTCGCATCAGTAGGTATCACACTATCCAACTTTTCATTTAACAAGTTGCGATCAAGAGTTGAATGAAAAGTTTGATGGTGTGAATTGGACTTCCGCTTCCCTAATTTAACATCCCCATCTGGTTTATCTAGAAAGAGATTTGTAGCTTTTGTTTAGCTTGGACGGACCTGCAACTCATAAACGTACGACTTCCTTGTGATTTCCAGTTCATCACAAGACAACATGGAGCAGAAATTGTCATGTAAATAAGAGATAATATGAATTACTCACAGCGATGAAATAAAGCAAAAAAGCAACAGGTCCGAGGCAAGATCTAAATTTGAACATCCCTCTGCTCATCTCAACAAATGATTCAAAGAAAAGTAAGAATCTTCAAGGAAAGTAAAAATGTAGGTGCCTACATACACTGAAATAGAGGTACTCCAAGTTCAGTGGATTGAGATAAAAGTTACTCACGGTCTGAAGGCAAAAGCTAAATGCCGGCCTTTGGTCAAATCTCACAATTGGTCGCTTTCTTTTCTCGTCTACCTCCTGTCTGCTTCTACTTCACTAGAATTCCCTTTGCTCATGCTCTTATCACACTGTGCTCTTATCACAAAATATTCTAACCTTAAATTTCGTCATTTGCTTCACAACAACAAACAACAACAACGTGCCCTTTATCACAAATTCACACCTCCGTTTGCTTTGAACTTGCTACTTGGCCATGGTTCTAGCAATTTTTGTTTCCTTTGTATAAAATTATTTTTAGTGAGTACCTCTTACAATCTCCTTTATTTTTCAGATAATCTTAAGCTGTCTTTGTAATCAAGTTTGATCATTTTTTTCGTCAATGATCTCATTGCTCGGTGGAAACAATTTATGAACGAAGGCTGCCATGCCTCACATTTCATGATTTTTCTCATCAAGCTCCACGGTCAATCCCTCTCGTAAGTAATTGAATTTAAACCATAATTTCTGAGTGAGAGCCATAAAGGAGTCTAGGTTATTTTAACCATTATTCTGTCATTCAGTACTGACACTATAATAGTCACAGAAAGTGAACTTTGGTGCTCGTTTTTCTAGTTATGCAGTTTTGGGAATCCATCTAGAAAATCTTGTATGTCAGTCTACTGGCCTTTCAATTTGCCAGTATTGACAGAGAATCTGCCCCTGATGTAGTACGTTTCTACCAATACTTTTGCAAAGAAAATCCCTGATGAATTATCACATTGAAGACATGTCTGCACCAATTCCAGGAAAAATATGCCCTCATAAGTCCTGCACAGTTCTTTTTAGCCTCCTCAATTTTTATTTTATCTTTACAGAAATCAAAGCTAAATTGGAGGTTCCAAGATGAGAACTAGGACAAATTCAGGTGTTCATTTAGATTACTACCAACGCATAGTACACAAGATCATTTTAAATCATCAGGTAAGTTTATCTCATTAGATTATACAATTTCAATACCCTCTCCTAGCACTCAATGAACAAGCAATGCGCTGAAAAAACCATACAGGAGCGGGGATTTTAAAACGCCGCAAATGAGATACGTTGTCTGAGAGTTTCACCGTTTATCTGTGTAACGCGATTGAACACCAAAGCATGGTGCTTAATTGCCGGAGATGTTTATGCGTTGGCCTCTAGAGGGTGCCTTACTGGTTAGCCCAGCTCACTACATCTACTACTACTAACACTACTATTGCTATCACTACCACTACAACACTCTCTCTATGATCACACTTGTCATAACAATAATTTCCTGGTAGAGGTGGAATTGTCTGGTCCACAAACCACCATACTTTAGCTGAGCGAAGCTTTTCATGACAAAATCTTTGCTGTAAGTAGAAATCTTAGCCTGTCGCCGCTTTGCTGTAAGGAGAGAGGAATGTATCAGTGTGTCATTTACAGATCGCATCACTGTGTCAAGTATTGCCAGCTTTGAACAGTATCAGAAGGTTGAAATAAGAAGCGCAAGTTTTTAATTTCTAGAGGGATTTTCCTGCTTTTATGAATTAATTGTCTTTGTAATTTAAAGAGCCTCGCCAAGTTTAGCCCCTTTTTTTTTATACCCGAGTTGGTCAACCGGACAGTGCTCAAATGAAAGCCTATGGTAAGGCAAACTTCCGTGCAAAGTTTCAACTTGAAGTGACCCCTCGTTTAGGCTGTACAGCGTTGTCAATTTTCCAGTTTCATGTGCTAAAATCAAGGGTATTGGACTATTAATCCGGTGCATAAGTAGACTAGTACACCCGAGTTGGTCAACGGGACAAGGCTCAAAAGAAACCTTATGGTGAGGCAAACTTCCATGCAAAGTTTCAACTTGAAGTGAAACCTCGTTTAGGCTGTACAGCGTTGCCAATTTTTCATTTTTATGCGCTTTACTCAAGGAATACTGGATTCATCATGGTTAAACAGACTAGTATACCCGAGTTGGTCAACGGGACGAGGCTCAAACGAAAGCTTATGGTAAGGTAAACTTCCAGGAAAAGTTTCAACTTGAAGTGAAACCTCCTTTATGCTGTACAGCGTTGCCAATTTTCCATTTTTATGTGCTAAAATCAAGGAATTCGGGACTAATAGTCCAATGCATCATAATTAAACAGACTAGTGCATCGGTCTACGAGCTGAATACTACCCTGAGATCGAATAGAAGCGCAAGCCTTGTCCCGTTGACCAACTCGGGTATACTAGTCTATTGAACCGTGATGAATCCAGTATTCCTTGAGTATAGCGCATAAAAATGGAAAATTGGCAACGCTGTACAGACTAGACGAGGTTTCACTTCAAGTTGAAACTTTGCATGGAAGTTTGCCTTACCATAAGGTTTCTTTTGAGCCTTGTCCCGTTGACCAATTCGGGTATACTAGTCTGTTGAACCATGATGAATCCAGTATTCCTTGAGTATAGCGCATAAAAATGGAAAATTGGCAACGCTGTACAGCCTGAACGAGGTTTCACTTCAAGATGAAACTTTTCCTGGAAGTTTGCCTTACCAAAAGCTTTCGTTTGAGCTTTGTCCCGTTGACCAACTCGGGTGTATTAGTCTATTTATGCACCGGATTAATAGTCCAATACCCTTGATTTTAGCACATGAAACTGGAAAATTGACAACGCTGTACAGCCTAAACGAGGGGTCACTTCAAGTTGAAACTTTGCATGGAAGTTTGCCTTACCATAGGCTTTCATTTGAGCACTGTCCGGTTGACCAACTCGAGTATAAAAAAAAGGGGCTAAAAAACACCACTTTTTGGCGAGGCTCTTTGTTAGTACCAAACTTACATTAATCAGATCTATTTATGTTTTCCAATTTAGAATCCAGTCACTGGCTTATTTCCTGCTAGCCCTGAAAATGATCATGCTTGGATAAGGGATAATGTTTACACCATTCTGGCAGTGTGGGGCCTGTCAATGGCTTACAAAAAAATTGCAGATGCTGATGAAGATAGAGCAAGAATTTATGAACTTGAGCAGGTAAATTATACTCGCTTAATACTATTTTTAACTATCTATATCATGGGCAATAGCTTTACCAGACTCTTTAGAACAGAAGAGGAGAAAGATTTTGAAGCTCAAAAAAGTTGTAAATTCAACAGGGCATCTTTTATCTGTTGCTCTGGTTAAAGTAATTTTTCCCTCTCTTACACAGTCTGGCTGGTGTTTTTGTGAAACATCTTATGTTCATTAGTTATATATTCATTAGTTATGTCATCTCATCTTAGTTGTCACTAAGATGAGATCACATGACTAATGAATTTTAAAGTCAAACATCTGGTAACATGTAAGAGTCTCCATGTGAAATTCCAAAATAGAAACATTTGGTACGTCCAGACTCTACTGCAGACTGCTCTCATAGTCTTTCACATTCCTAAATTTTATAATCCTGATGTGGATTTTTAATTTCCAGAGCTGTGTCAAGTTGATGCGTGGGCTTCTGATGGCTATGATGCGTCAGAAGGACAAAATTGAGAAATTTAAAACCAGTCAGAATCCTCTAGATGCTTTACATGCCAAATACAGTTCCGTCACTGGCCTGTCTGTTGTTGCGGACTGGGAATGGGGTCATCTTCAAATTGACGCCATTTCCCTCTACCTTTTAATCTTGGCTCAAATGACAGCATCTGGTAAAGTTCAATTTTCTTATTCCTGGTGTTACTGCTTAGTGACTTTATCCTCTAATTCTTAACCCATCCTTTTTTAGTGTTTTTTCAATTATACTTATCTTAGTCTATTTTGCAGTTTTACCCTTTTATTTCTTTGTCTTTTGTTCTTTAAATTTTTCAGAATTTTAAATCGAATAGTTTTTCTTCAAGAAGAAAAAAAAATAATCATGACATGGGTTGTGCTCTTATTGGTTCATAAGACATGATTGAATCAATCAATGGGTTATTCTGCTGCACATTCAATGTCAGAAGATGAATTTTTAGTTAACTGCAGGCTTTTACAGCTGATAAGGTTGTAATGTTGTAAAGTATTTTGTAAATTTGCACTGGATTTTGCTCCCTCTTTTCTCTTTGTGGTGTTAATCGCTATTTGTTTCTGATGAGTCTGTTCTTTTTTTAAGGATTTATACTTTAAGTTAATAATCACCCAATTACTATATGAACAGGTGGGAAAAATTGTAGACCTCGTGTACGTGCCTTTGCGTATACTACTTGGACATCGTAGATCAAAAATCATGAATAATGCACATATTTGTGTTTTATTATTATTAACTTAATGTATTCTAATTTTTCCTCTTTCTGAAAATTTATTTATTTCTTCTTTTTTTCATGAAGGTCTTCAAATTATTTTCAATTTGGATGAGGTGGCTCTTATACAAAATTTAGTATTTTACATCGAATCTGCATACTGTACCCCGGTGAGTATTTGATCTCAATTCAAAATTTTTCTCTGTGTGTGATTAGGTATTTTTTTTCTTTTCATCCCATTAATCTAAAATAGGCAGAGTATGTGGCTTTCTTATGGAAACCAGACCTCATCTAGATACTGAAATGTTTTTATGAACAAAATTTGCAGAATCATTTGTTAGAACACTACACAGTGGGATGTATTATATTTAACGGCCCATTAAAGGTAGATATCAGATGAAAAACAGCTGTATTATTTGCCTGCACTCATATGTTGGCATATCTCTCTTGAAATACAAGTATAATAAATTACAGGTAGGCAGTTCAGGTCCGGTGGTTTATCCTGCCAATTCTAGTGCATTCTCTTTTTCTCTTAATTTTGAACCGCCTCAACCTTTTCACTGCCTCCAGGACTACGGAATATGGGAAAGAGGTGACAAATCAAACCATGGTCTACCAGAACTGAATGCCAGCTCAATTGGAATGGCCAAAGCAGCACTAGAAGCAATGAATGAGTTGGATTTATTTGGCGCAAGAGGAGGACCTTCGTCTACAATTCATATCCTTGCTGATGAGGCACAAAAGTGTCAAGCTGTTCTGCAGGTATATTCAGCAGCACAAGCTTTTTTTTTTGGGAGTTGTGTTTAATTGGTATTTTACATTCTCCCAGTTGACATAACGAAAAGTAGGGAATGAGGGGCTGAATCTAGTACCAGTTCAATCCATCGCTTAAGGTGATTCGTCAAGCTCAAAGAAAGTGGTCGAACTGGCATGCGATATATCGCATCTTGTAGGTCAAAAATATTGGCAGATTTTGAATTTTTAGCAAAACAAAGGACGATAGCCCCTGCTCATGAGCCTAAAGAATCATTTCATACCCAAAAATCGGCAAAATTCAGAGAAATGAAGGCAGAATAGCTGTATCAAATGCGAGATTTTTTCCCAAAAACTATTCTGCTTCCATTTCTCTGAATTTTGCCGATTTTTGGGTTTAGAATGATTTTTCAGGCTTATGTTCAGGGGCTATCGTTGTTTTTTTTGCTAAAAATTCAAAATCTGCCGACATTTTTGACCTAATGGATGCAATATATCGCATGCCAGTTCGGCCACGTTACTTGAGCTTGACGAATCCTCTTAAGGGTTAAAATGCAGGTATATTGATTCAGTAAAAGAACTGGGCTTGACAGAGGTAATTGACTTTCTATCGATTGAATATGCAACTCTTTAACCACACTTCCACCCGCCAGCTTTTGTCGTGTCAACTGTATGTAATATTATTTGCGTAGACATTTCTTGAAACAACATCATTTTTTAAGTTTAAATTGCCATCCATTTATAATTTTAGGGAATAAAACGAAACCCAGTCTTCAGGACTGCTCTAATAGTGAATTTTGAAAACAAAGTGAAAAGCAAGACAAATGTTTGATTATCTCTGTATATAAGTACGAATGCAAGATTCCACTTGCTGCGTGATGTTATTCGCTGCAAGTGAGTCTTGAAAGAATGAAAGAATTTATCTTGGATCTAAGAGTCTGTTTCATTTATCTAATAAATCTGTTTGATTTTTTTTAGTCCATGTTGCCTCGAGAATCAAGCTCCAAAGAGCTGGACAGTGGCCTACTTGCTGTCATTAGTTTTCCTGCTTTTGCCTGTGATGATCCCAATTTAATTGATGTCTCCCTAAGTGCAATTATAACAAAGTTGGAAGGAAAGTATGGCTGCAAAAGATTCCTACGTGATGGTTACAGGACACCGCGGGAGGTAAAAATGCTTGCTCTCTCTATACTCATGAAAATACAAATTTCGTTTACTCACAGTATTCGGGGTCAAAACTCGGAAGAGTTAGTCAGACTCATCTTTTTGAATCTTTTCCTCTGTTCTCTTTATATTCTTCGCAATTTTTTTAAGTCAAAAGCCCCTTTGGATTTGCTGTGTCTTCAGATTTTTCTTTTTACTTTTCAAGTAAAGTGAACCGACTTAGTTGAAATTAAGGCAATCTCTTCATCGAATTACTGAGACTTCATTTCTCTTCATCACAAGGTGAGAATTAGGCGACTCTCAAAATCATTGTAGAAAAATTATGAATTCCACGACTTGTTCTTTTTGTGGCAATCAGTGGAAATAATTGCCTCTTATTCTTTTAATTTAAACTCATTTTTTTATTCAACTCACTGTCAGTTCTGCAAATAATGAGCAAAATTTACCTCTTAATATTGAACAATTTCTTTGTAATCAACAGTCTCTTTAATTTTTTTCTATCTCTTCAATTGCAGGACCCCAATCGTTTACATTATGATCCTCTCGAATTACGAATGTTCGAAAATATTGAATGTGAATGGCCTCTCTTCTTTTGTTACTTGATCTTGAGTTATATTTTTCAAGGAAACAAAGACACAGCTTTGGATTATTTGGAAAAACTGGAACAGGTGATTTCTCAACGTCCTTCTCAATGTTTTTAGATAAATTTAGTGCCTAAATATTTCACAACAGATAATTTCATGCCTACAATAGTTAAATACGACTAATTCTTAAGGGTCTGAAAGAATTTCCTCCTCCTTTATAGTGAGCAACCGTTGCCAGACTCCAGAACCATGGTTATTTTCATCATTACACTCCTATAAGTCATTTATCATTTTTAAGTTGGGATTACTCTAAAATGACCTCAGTCATGGTTTCCTAATCATCAGGATGAAACTTTCTTGGAAAGATGTCACACCTCTTTGGTGATCTTTCTCAATTTCCAAGGGTCGTCCATTAACTGCTCAACTGACAGAGATAAATGAAATTGGTGAGAAAGTACACGTACGGCATACTTTAGCTTTAAAAAGAGTCTAATTTCTCAGAAATGGCCAAGGAGTTTGTGAAAAAATCTCAATTTCTTTGAGACAACTTCCCATCGTCGCGTTCCCAGCTCCTAGGACAAAATGAGAAAAACACCAGAAAGAATTGATAATCGGACTGTAGGCTATTAGTGTAACTCTAATCCTAATTTTGTATTATTCTTGCTTAGATCTCCCCCCAGAAAACTGCAGACAGCACTATTCTACCATTTTTTATTTACAGTATTTAGGCCATATTTTAGTGTTTAAAATAGGGGAGCTTATTTTGATAGAAACAGCTTTTTGTTCTAAGATTTGAATATTATGTAATTTTTTTTTTGTTTGTCATAAAATTTTAGATTTTGGTCAAAGATGAAGCGAATGGCATCTATCTAGTACCTGAATTATATGCTGTCCCAGGAGACAAAGTTGATGCAGAATGTGAAAACCCTGGCTCTCAAATGCGCATAGGACTGGGAAGGTGTCCTTTCTTATGGGCGCAGTCTTTGTTCATCATCGGGAAATTACTTCTTGATGTAAGTCCAATTAATATTTCAACCAGGTGTTCTGGGTGGTCAAAAATTTTGTTGTTAATAAGTGTCCGAGTTAATTTCTCTCTTGAGCATCAGCTGATAGATGCTCATTTTCAATGATAATTTCAAGCAGAAAGCCTACCTACATTTCTACATGAATGCCTCTCCGCTTCCTTAATGAAGTCTACACTCAAATACTCGCAGAATACTGTCCTTGCTAAGTCAATGGTGAAACTCCCAAACCATGTATCTCGTTGGCGGGATTTTGAAATCTCCACTCCCACTTTACTTATTTAGGTGAAAATAACAACATCATTCATTGAATTTTCCTCAGAATTTTCTTTCTACAGGGAATGAAAATCACAGAATTAATGTCGATTGACGATGAGTAGTTTACCATTTAAGAAATAAAGCATGGCAGGGAGTCTGAAACGTTGAAAACCAAGTATGTGATTTGGTAATTTCACCATCGAAATACTGTCCAATTTAATGTAAAGAGAGCTCTCTGAGGTTGAAAATAAATTTCGCAAATATGTACCAATGAGAACCAGATACTTGATATCGCATGAAAATGTCACCTTCAGTCGATGGAGTTTAAAGGTGACCTCTGATGGTTCAATATTGATAAGGTAACTTAAGGGGTTGATATTAAAGTTTATCAGGCTGATGAGTTTAGAGTAGATTTGGCCTTCTCATTCAATGATGGCCATTTTGGGGAATGCCCTATACTCAGGTCAATCCCAAGAAGTTAACTATTTATAAAGTGGTTAAAGGATCTAATTGTCCAAAAGTCACCCTTTTCCCTTTATTATATTATAAAACAAAAAATTGTTGAGGATCCTCTATTTTAGTTTTGGTTTGAACCAGGGTTTTCTGGCAGTCGGAGAGTTGGATCCATTGAACAGAAGACTTTGTTCCGAAAAGAAACCTGATGTTGTGGTCCAAGTGGTCATTCTAGCAGAAGATAATGACATCCGGGATAAATTAGCTGCGTATGACATAGCCGTTGAAACAATAGCTGAAGTTGCCCCAATTGAAGTCCAACCAGCACGCGTCCTTAGTCATCTTTACACATATTTAGGTAAATATTTTCCTATTAGACTGTGTATCTAATGGTGTATCTATTTGGTTGTTGATTTGGAGTAAACCTGAACCATTAGTGTTTTGAATTGAAAGTAACATTACAAGTCACTAATATCCTTTATGACCTCTCAAATCTGTCTATTTTCTCTTCCAGGTCGCAATGAGAAACTGGGTCTATCAGGGAGAAAGTCTCGTGACGTAGGTATCTTAAGTACAAGTAAACTCTACTCACTGCAAGATAGAATTTTTGCGTTCACTCCGCAGGTAAATGACATCAGTATTTTCATCAACTTTAAATTACTTTTGACTTTCCATAAGGTACAGTTAGCTCGCCATGGGAGTTTTATAGTAGAGAAACACTTTGAACACTATGAGTAGCATCCTATTATACAATATCAGCGGTGTAAGTCCACAATCACATATCTCGTTTGCGGTGTCTGAAAATCTCCGCCTCTATGTTATTTTTTTAAAGGAGAACAAATTGACATCATTCCTTGAAGTTTATGCAGAATTTTCTTCCCACAGAGAAGAAAAATCACGGCAGTTTTAAAGAATTGCGGTTAAGTAGTTTTCCGTTTAAAAAATAAAGTATGACAGGAAGTCTGCAACATTGCAAACTGAGTTATGCGATTGCTGACTTACACCGTCGATGTATTTAATATTATTCTGATATTTTACACCTCCAAAATTTTTTTTTGCTTCTATAGTTAAAAATTAGACAAATGGTTTACTTTGAAAGCATCCGTAAACTCTCATTTTCAATAGTTTTACTTCCTTTGCTGTTTTTTTTTGGACGTGACCTGGTAAAAGAAACCATTAATTGTCGGTACCACCGTTTTTATTTCATATCTAGAAAAATTTGATCTAGAATAGAACAACACTCAAATATTCAAAGAACAGCGCGTTTATAAATAATTGACAGCCGAGTACAACAAATTCTTTTGTTTTTCCTCAAGTATAACTGTTGCGTAACTCAATTGGTTGTTGACATCAATAGATTTTCTAGGTCTTTAATGATGTATAAGAGTTCTGCACTTCAATATTAGAGTAACCTCATAGAAATGTATCGTATGTTAGTTTCAATATTGCTCTTGCTGTATTAAACTATTCCATCCAAAATCTTAAACTGTCCAACTTGCTCAGGTAATAATAAAAGAAATAGGAGAGAGGATGAACCAAATGATTAATTTCGAATGGTTTTACAATTTGTACAGTTAACAGATCAAACAAGGTTCTACATTGCTTCAGATAACGAGTTGATGATAGATATTTTCAAAAGCGAGATCAACTTTCTGAAGTCAAGTTGGCAGAATATGCTAGGTCGTCCACTCGCTGTAATAGCTTTGCGACATGGTCACCTAGGTATTTAATTCAGTTGACTTTTTCAAAGCATGAGTTTCAGTCCCAAGTTGAGTGATCCCTAGTAGATAGTGTTTGAAATTCTGTATCTTGTTAGTGAATAGAAAAATGCTTGTATACTGCTAGATGAATCGTAAGCTTAAAGTTTCATGCTTGTGTTGAAATCTCCTCTATAAGTAAACCTTTTGTTTGAGCTTATTATTATCTATTTTCCATCTGCGTTGGTGGTGGAATTTATAATCTCCAAAGTTTTAGTAGTACTGTCCTTGTAATTTATTGCTGGTGTGAAGAAATGTTTAGTCACTATGACTCTGACCCTTAACACGCTTATTTATTTACAGTGAAGGAAGAAGAATCTTCTCTCATTTGAGTCAGTCATATTGTTTGCGAGAAGAAAAATGTTGAGATTTCTGTAGTGAAGATTAAGAAATGAGAATATTTTATAAATGAACAGCAACTTTAACTCAATTTGACCTGCAAGATAGAAAGAAAATGATATGAATCAACATCTCAGGTTTCAAACCTGGATCACGGCCTCTTTCGGACTGATTATTTCCCCCTACCCCTCTACCTTCATAAGAGTAATGTATTAAACATTGGCCTAAATCAGAAGTTACCAACTGGGAAACTCCTTTTAATTGGCCAATTTTCGGGCGCTGACTGACCTTTCTTCCCTCCTCAAGCTGAAAAGAAGAATCCAAGTCTCTCGTAAAAAAGAGGAAAGAAATGTTTTGAGTAAGCACTGCTCTTAGCCATACATCTCTCAAAGTTCGTCGTATTTTCAAACCACGACTTTGCATTCATGGAATTCCTAAAATTTTCCCACCAATGTAAATGAGCCAAGAGCTACGGAAAAAATTGTAAATATAGTCAATCTAAGCTCCTGCGCTTTGAGAGGTCAGAGCCTTGCAAAGTAGGAAGTCAACTTTTTTTTTTACTAGGAACAATGAGACAAAGATAAAAGAACTTGTAAATTTAAAATTATTAGTTCAAATGATAGATTGTGTTACTTACTGTCACACCAAAAATTTTAATCGGGAATTTGATGTTGAAAATAATGAATGTACAACAAATGAGTAGAATTTTGAAATGGAATGGAGCCTTTTCCCTGTTCGACTCCTTTTTCAATTTATTCTAGGTTCGTTCGGTATCATTTTCTGTTTTTCTGTCTTAAATATTGCTATTATACCTCTGTATATTTCCTTTTATGCATCTTCTTGTATCATAGTTTGGTTTGTATTTTACATTGTGGTTTTACAAGCATGAATTTGTTTGCGTGGTGTGCGTAGACTCTAGATTTTGAACAGTATTACATGGGGAATGATGTAGCTCTTCTTGCGAATAATGTCATGATGGATCTGTCTTTTCTGACCATGAACTGGAAACAAATGCTCGGTAGACCAACATATACCATCATAGCTTCTAGCAATTTCATAGGTACTTATCTCCTTTATTTTTTCTCCTTATCATGATCGACTGGTCTTATTTGGATTATATTTGAACCATGTTAAGCAGAAACGAACCAAACCACATCAGCTATTGCCAGATTCATTTGGGCAGCAATTTAATTATTTACATGTAAACGGTTGTGCGGATTTTGGTGCACATTTTAGTGAATGTTCTGCATAGTACAGAGCAAATTCTTTAAAGTTTTCAAAGGAATCTGCAAAAATGTTCTCTTGTAAAAAATTAAATTGCCCAGTTAACTTTAGCAATAGCTGATGTAGCTTGGTTCCGTTCTGCTAACTGCGGCCCATTTTATCCCCTTGATGAGGTACTGCCACACATTCTGATCAGCTATTTTTGCTATGCTAGGAAAGTTTAAGGTGAAGCACCAACAATTTTAAGGATCAGAAGTCTAAAAAATATTACATAATGTCCTGAATTTTTGTGTTTTGGGAGGGGGAGGTAAATGTTAACATTAGAACATATTATTCTTTGTAAATGCCCTATCAAAGAAAAGAAAGGAAAAAAGGAAAAAAAAACTTCCAGGCAACCTACAACCTCTCCAAATCCACACATAAATGGAAAAAGGAGCCTTGGTTTGTGCATTAGTGTTGCTTCAAATCCGTTCTTCTTCCTCAGCATGTTAAATGCATTTCACTGCATCATTTTTTGTTACTGCATTTGAACAGTTATCAAACGAATATGCACTAGAAGCCTTAGAAATTGAATATGACAAAGTGCTCTATTTGTAAAATGTTTGCCTTTACTGTAAGATTGAAATTACACAAGATTATAATAGTGAGTTTATTTCAACATCAGCTGTCACAATTAATTCTCATGCGCTGTAAGACTCATCCCAAACTTTACTTCTTGCTTTTTCCGTGAAATGCCATATTGGCATTGTTGAGTTCCTCCTAGCACTGAATGGCTTTTAATTAGAAATCTCTAATCTTTCAAGATGTTGCTCTGATTGCAAACTTGAAATTTTGGAAGGTTCACAAATCTGAATTGGAAGCACCTTTTCTGTCCTTAAAAAATATCCCCTACTGAATTTTGGTTCCAGTCATATTAAGTCTCTTTCCCTAAATAATATCATTCCAAGGAAAACGTTTTTGAGCCTTTCGGAAGTGCTAATCTACTAATTCCTCCAAAATTGTTTTATTCCATAAATGTACTTTCAAAGTAATTAATTTTCTTTTTTTTTTTGAGAAGCAGTTAGTTTATTTGCTGTATTATTATTTATTTCAGACGAAGGAAAAATACCTTTAGCCATGATCACCACTATGAAGAAATTGAAAAGCGGTTACATCAATGGAACAAGGTATATCAGACATCTGATTATCAATTGAATACTTCCTAATTGGTTGGTTAATCATCCTAAGTTTACCAAGAAAAACTATCTGAGAATGGCCAATCTGTAATCTGATTCAGAATGTTTTCTGTGGCTACAAGATTGTTGGCTGGTTACAAATTTTGTCCGAAATTCCACAGATGAATGGTAGCCATGGTGTACTGCATTTGCATAATATAGTTAAAATGTCTTAAAAATGTTAAAATACTTTTAAGTGTTACATTTTATGGTTCATTCCAGGTTTTTCCTAGCTTTACTGTAGATTTTGAAAGTCTTATTTTACTGTTTTGAATATTCACCAGGAAATTATTTATTCATCTTTTCCTCTCTTGAATTTTTTTTATCTAATTTCTCTTTTATGTTTATCTTTATTTTGTTTCTGCAGGGTAACTCTGGGAAACCTAAATGATTTCTTAAGTACATCATGCATCACAAATTTAAGCTTCCTTGGAAGTCAAGAGGATGGCATGCCTGATAGTGAGTCTCCTTTAATTTTTAATTTCTCAATTTTATTTCAATAACATGTGAACTAACTTCATTTGCTAATTCTTGGATCATCCTTCTTTTTTTTACCATGTGGACGTTGAAGCATTTTTATTCATAAAAACCTCTCCAAAAATTGATTCCTCCTTTGTTCTTTTTTCTTTGTTTCTTTGATAAAATTAATATCATTTGATTTAACCTTATCCTACGTACTTTTTAATTTATTTTTTTCTTATTAACCTTGATTGATTTCTTTTGAGCAGGACTGAATCTACAAGTGGAGCAGTATTTAGAAGAGCATCTTCTGAAATGCATGAGTAGCAAGTCATCTCTTCTCAATTGTCGCGCTGCCCAGAACTCAAAATCTTTAAAACGTAGAATGTCTGTGAAAGGCGCTATCAAGAAAACCAGATCAATTATAGCTGCAGATTGTAAGTTGACTTACATTATTTTTTATTGTGTTTTTAGCTTTTCCTTTACCAATTTTAGATTCTGAATGCGCATTTCATGAAGTTTGTCAAGAATAGGGAAGTATATTTTTAAGAAAATTGATTTAAACAATGAATGAGTATTTCATCATGCTCTCAGCTTGAAGTACTTGTAGTGAGATTCATCTTTTAAAATCTTACAAAACGAAAAGAGAGACTTATAGAAGACACTGATAGATTGATATAGATTGATTTTGTACTATTTCTTTCTTTTTATAGCTGAAGGCACAGATGGTCGTAGGTCTTCAACACAACTGCCTCCCTCTCCTCAAGCACTAGGACCTCCCGAAGTATTCCATCCTTTGTTCCCTCCACGTAGTCCATCACCAGAGGATGTTGCTCCACTGTGGAAACAGCTCCGTTCTCCGAGGTTTCGGTTGCATCCCTCTTGTGGTTTTTTTACCTTTTTGCATCCGCTCGCATATATTAACATCCTAAAGGTGCAATGACTTTACCAGTCTAAATATGTGTGTATTGTCTGGGAGCTTTTCAATTTTGAAATTGTGGTTTGATGAAATCACAGTAACCAAAGGAAAGTGGGGAGCATACAAGTTGGCAACACTGTTTTCCTCTCTTTAAATTTATGTCAAACAATCGATTCTAGGTGAAGCAGCCTATCTTTTACCAAAAACCAATACAATACATTCCGTACATACCATTCCAATAAATTTTCAATGTATTTAATTGAAGGAAAAACAGTATTGCCAACTTGCAAAATTGCCACTGGTGGGAAGCATGTATACTGCGAAAAAATAGTATGCTTTCAATGCACATTGGGGGAACTATTTTCAAGGTTTGTTAAGGATTGTTGCTAATCTGTCAAAAGTGAAAAGCTCGCTCGACAATACTTTGTTCTTTTCCTCTATGTATACAGTTTAATACAGTTATAATAGTTTTAATAGAGTTTAAAAATAACTACAGTAATATCTCAATTTATTGGATTGCAATTTAATGGATCGATCTTCTGGTCCCTTCAAGAGATTCAGGCTCATTGGAATGAACAGATTCTGCAATTTAACGGATAGATTTGTCAGTCCCACTAAAGCCGATATCAAGGTCGTACTGTATGTCAATTCGTACGGCGTTTCACAGCCCCCCCTTCCTCCTCACCTCTGGGTCAATTGTAGTATTGCTCAAAGCATGAGTTACTTTCCAGGCCCCTACTGGTGCACTGTGTGCCTGCTTATGACTCTGCGCAGATGAGCCTAATTTTTGTAGTAGCAGTTGACTAACCCAGTGCTTTTTAGGTTTCAACTTTAATGGGGAGGCAAATTTTAGAACATAGAATTAGGCCAAAAAAACGCCTTATTGCGTCTCGCTAAAATCAAAACTGACAAAACGGAACATATGACTCTGGTCAATCTTAGTTTGACTTTAAAAATCATTTTTTTAAACTTTTATTGATGAACATAACTACAATGTATTTTATGTATTTACATTAATTATTTTTAAAAACATGCAAAGGAAAAATTAAGTAAAAAAATAGAAAAAATTATGTTACTGGAATGTCAAAAATGATCTGTTTAATGCGTTTAACTTCTTGCTTTTTGTAGACCCCAAAAATATTTTGTTTTACTGTCAAAAGACTTAAAAAAAAAATTGCTAATCATTTTATTGCATGCGATAAATTGATGGAGCTTTTTATGGTTTTTTTTTTTGAAACCTGCACGTATTGTATGTATTCCTCTTTTGCTAAAACGTATATAATCCTTTGTGAAAATTAAATTAGAGTTTATTGTCGACAAGTGAATTAAATAAGTTAGAAAAGGGAGAAAGAAGGAAGAGAAAACAAGGGTCTCTAGTGAATCTGGTTTCATAAATTTTTATTTGTAGTGTGGGTTTTCTGGTTTTTTCCAAATACTGTTTGAAACTGGCCCATGGTGATAGCCCTGGGCATTGCATCAGTTGCATGGAGGGTTTTTATTTCAGTGTCTGTGAATTGGTCTCTTACTAACACTTTTTGTGAATCTCAAGTTGTAGCTCCCTCCAAAATTTTAACAAAGATGTCCTTTTTCATTGTACTATTCCTTATGTTAGTATGACCTCTTGATTGTCTATGTTATCTTCAGCATGAACTTGTTTTTGATGTCTAAATTTATGTTTCACAGATTTTTTTCAAAACTTTTATTAGATCAGTCTGAATCTCACGTTCCGTATGAGAATGGATGTTATATTGAAAGTAGAAGCAGACACAGGTTAGCAATATATCTCATTAAAACAGGCCTCTCTCTTTTGATTCTGAAATGATATTTCATTCAAAAATTTTTCTGGAAACATGGTGAAATTAGTCTTAGTTCTCAGCTGCAACAACAGGAATATACTGCTCTTTACAGAAATAATCTTGGGAAAAATTAGCCTGTGAATCGTTAATTTCTCTGAGATTTATCTCTAAGTGTTGAGGGATTAGTTCTAGTAGCAAGAAGCTCAGCTTAACAGATGGGGTTAGTTCAACCTCAAATTTTGTTTCTCCAGCTATTCCATATAGAAACGATCTAATTGAGACGAAACCTGTGAAAATGGATCTTATCTCCTGGGAGAAAATTTTCCATAACTTTTTGTATAGCAGGGAGGAAGAAAATCTGGAAATTTTGACGCAAGTTTGACCCCGGAAGTTCAAAATTTGAAGAAAATATGAGCCTTGAAGTTTCAAAACGAGAGTTCTCAAGTTGAAGGAAAATTTTCTTCTGGAAGATACGGTCGCCTCCCACAGATCCTTTCACAATCCCTTTACCTAATTCTGTTGAATTCTTCGTTTCATCAAGAATGTAGGTTCTGAGGAAATAAGTTGGTTTTTTCCTCAAATGTAGGAACAAATGGTACTTTAATTTGTAAGAATCAGTGAAGGAGAGCAGCCTCACAAATTATTCTGCTTTTTTCTCACAACAATTAGTCATTGGAAATCAAAAGAACATTGATATCGACAACTAGGTCGCTTGTTAATTAATCTTCTCCTCACGCTTTATGGTTGATTCTCAATGTTGTCACTGTTCATCAACAGGTATCCATCTGAAACTCAGTATGCTGACACTGAGGTAGAGGAACTTTTATCAATGCTGAAAGAATGTGAAAATTTAGAGGAGCAAGGGGATATTCTACAGTACTTGGTTGATAAACAAGGTCTCATGTTTGATACAGGTAGGTTTTTTTTCGTCATCTCAAAACATTCATTCTACAGAAATAAAATCTCTGACCATTTTGTCTCAAAAATCCAAACTTTTACCTGCTCTTAGGGTCTGCAAATGGACTACAGGTTCGAATAAAAAACTCAAAATTCAGGAATAATTGACTTTTAACAATCATCAAATTTTTGCTACAAGTTGCACAGGTGGGATGGAAGTCTGAATGCAATTTCAATTGAATTGAATTGATTTCATCACAGAAGCAATTCACTTGAATTCACATAATATTGTAACGTCATTTTAAGGCGTCTTTTTGCTACAAGTGACTTGGGGATATTAGTCTTTTTTCCAAATTAATTTCAATTGCCCCATGCGAGAGATTCTATTACACTTTTTGAAAATTCAATGATCCGAATTGCGCAGAATATGGCAAGTATAAAAAATCTATTTATATTAATAAGTACAGTAAGACCTCAATTTATCGGATTTCACAGGACCGGAGGCCGAATCCGTTAAATCGTGGAATCCGCTAAATCGCGCTAGTCGGTCCCGCTGAAGGGACCGGAGGATCAATCCGTTGAATTGCGGAATCCGTTAAATTGCGATCCGATAATTCAAGGTTTTACTGTAGCTCAAACTGTTTGCACCGTTTGGAGCAAATTTTATATTCTTTGCATCTTTGAATGACTTGTATCATTTGCAAATTTCATACTTTGTACATATTTGGATTGTTTGCAAATATATTTGCACCATTTTAAATGTTTGCAAATATTTCCACCAATTCAAATTAATTGTATTTGTCTCAAGGAAAATAAGTATTAAAAAAATATGTGACTTATTTTTTCTTTGTACTCATAATTCTCTGTTCTCATAGCCAGTTCAGGCTAGTATACTCCTGAATGATGTGGCAGGTTAAATTTGGTCAAATCTAGGTTAACTCTACACTTTTCACATGCCCTACCTGACTCCCTAAACTGTAATAATTGGGCCTAAGTGTCAAATATGCACATGCTCTTGAACATATAGCTTATTGTTTTTTGGTATAATTATCTTGATCAAAGCCTCACTTTTTTTTGGTATTTTTGCCTCACTATCTCTGTGATTTAATTTTTCCAGGAATGACAGAGAATGGCAAAGCTGTCACTGTGAAGGATTTATTAAAGAGCCTGTATGAAAAAGCATGTCAGCAGAAGTTATGGGGGCTCGTGAGACATACCTCTGGTATGCTCGGAAAAAGAGTCGAGGACTTGGCCAAAGCTGTCACAGATCTTCTAGTCCGGCAAAAACAGGTAGAATAAGAACGAATCCATCCTGTCCCAATGAACCTTGTCCTTTTTTTAACGTTGCTCTGCGCACATAAAGTGTCACCCTAATGTAACTTTTTAACGTCTATACAGACAAATATTGTCAAATGCATACGAATGATAAGTTGTAGAAAATGCAGATCAATGTTTGAAAATCTCATTTTTTTCTCTTCTAGAAAAACTTATCAAAATATATCTTTGCAATTTTTTTTGATTCTTTCAGTATGAGTGAAGGAAATTCACTGAAAATTCAATTAGAAATTGATGGTTAATTATTTCTCTTTAAAAAAATGAAACCAGGAGGAACTTATAACAATGCAATTTGAGATACTTATGTTTTTACTTTAGCCACCATAATATAATACCATGCCACAAGGGGCCATCCTTAATCAAACGGGATGTTTTGAAAAAGGAGGTTTTAAGAAACGTTACGTCATTGGTTTACTTTTATAGATATTCCGGTTTTCATACATCCTTTTGTACATTGATTCCTTTTGCGGATGATGCTCATGTATGATGTAATGTATGTACATATTTTAGTGCCAATTTGATTGCTAAAATGGTCCCAAGACTATAGCCTCAGCTCTCAGTTGAGCTGAAGCATGCATGTGACTCTTTTCTCATACAAATCCTAAAAATCTTTTGATAAAACTTTAGTGAATAAAATATCTATCATATCAAATTTTCTTTTTCAGTCTTCTTTTTTCTTTTCAAATTTAATTTAAAACTTTCCAAATTTTCTTGAAATCATAGGTAACAGTTGGAATGCCGCCAAATAATGAACATACTATCACAGCACCACTCCCAGAAAATGAGCTACGTCAACTAATTCATCAAGCATATGGTGATGATGAGAGTTCTGCCATGCTGACACAGGTAAGAAAACTAAGATTTTATGTAGAGGTATCAATCAATCGATTTTTTTTAAAGCAAATACATCTCAAGTTTTAATTTTTAGCATAGGAAAAAAATTGTAATTAATTGATTTTTAGATGCCGATATTCTTAACTATTAATATCTTTACAAGCACAGCTACGGATAAGATGGAGTAAAATTTTAAGCGTTGGAAAATAAAAATTAGTGTTACCTCATTATACTGTATGCTTAAACAGTCCTGGAGTACATTTCGGTGTATGAAAGAACTAGTGCATTGAAGCGAAGAAGGAGCTATGGTTGGGATGTGGATGCGGTCAAATCTGCTAGAGGATTCAGATTCGGGATTCGGTGTCAAAATGCTCGACCCCGAATCCAAATTCGTGAATCCTTCAGAATTTCAAAATTTGCGCCACGAAGTCGAATCCTGAAGATTCTCCAAGGTTCTCAAATCACATCGAATATTGATATCGTCTCTCAATCTCATCGATGCAAATTTCAACGCATTCCAGAATGTTCTCGAACAGTAAATATTGGTATAAATACTCGCCATATTGCCTCGAGATATCGCAACCAGTATTTGTTTACCTATGTAATAAATAAAAAAAGTACTGAGTTTCTGAAAAGTGAAGGATTTGCGATGGATTCGGATTCGAGGATTCGAAAGTTAAAATTTGGGATTCGGATTCGGGTAAATTTAGCATCCGACCCGACCCTAGAAGGAACAGGGCTGATACCTATTTACAAGAATTTTCAATTTATCGGGTCATAAATAAATCTCTTTTTTTGCCCGAAAGAATATAAATAATTAGAATTTCTGACATATGCTTATGACTGGTAACTTTTTTGTGCATTGATAATATTGATGTTGATATCAAAATAAATTAAAACGTCGGTAAAAATTTTATCAATGCTTTATTTTGCAGGAATTATTGGTGTATCTGGCAATGTTTATCAGAACAGAACCGCTTTTATTCCAAGAAATGTTGCGACTTCGAGTTGGACTCATCATTCAGGTGGGTATTAAAGAAATAAAATCAGAGCAGTTACTCATCAAATTTATTCTGTCAACATCTTTTGATTTTCTCTCAATTTTATATCATTCATCAGAAAGTTACTTATTACTCTTGTATCAAAATAGGAATTTTCATTTGAAAAAGAAAAGTAGTGCTTTTTCAGGTACCATAGAAACCAAAGAGGCAAAGACTGTATGATAAAACAGTATCATCGGAGGACAGAGAAGAAGAGAATTTTTATAGTGCTTTTGCATCACTTTTAATGGAAAAATCAATAGATGGCTGATCTACCAGTGATGAAATAAGCCTCGCCAGTAGTCTATTTTTACTTGTCAATTTATCCCCATCTTCGATTGCTTCCTCTTTCTGTTCAAGCCATAAGTTTTCTTTCATTGTCAGTTTTTTTGTCATTTTATCTCATATATTATTATCTATTTCGCTTATTAATCTGCCGATAAATGTGTGACAACAAAATCTTGCTTTCAATGGTAGCATTTTACTCTGTTGCTTCTTTCAGCATGACACCATCCTTTGCGTAAAGATCTCTTTCTATTTTTGGCAATGATGGTGTCAGGACCATCATACATAGCAGATGTGCGCACACTTCAGAGCCTAGCGTGTGGCTCTTTACTAATTATTTTTGCCCGTATTCTAAGTATCAGGTCCTCGTTTTTTCTGTTTTTGTTTACATTTTTCTTCTAATATGTTCTTTCTCTCCTTTATTTTGACGGTTGTCCTTGAGTTCTTCTAGCTTTTCACAGTTTCCCTCTTGTTTCTTTGATCTTGTCCCAAAATTCAGTTTCATTCCTCATGTTCACCTGATAATGTCTGATAGTAAAATTTTATTTTCTTCAAGGTCATGGCTGCAGAATTATCAAGAACCCTGATTTGCTCAGGAGAGGATGCCTCCGAACATCTGCTTAACTTGTCACCTTTTGAGATGAAAAATTTATTACACCATATTATGAGTGGGAAAGAATTTGCTATCAGCAGTGGTATGTATTCTTTTTTAAAAAACAAATACCTCTAGGTCTTTACTCTGTAGGTTTAAGTATATTAAGCAATCTTAATTCCTGAAATAAATTTACTTAACATCAAATGCTTTCCACTGAAGAGGCAAGTGCTGCAAATTTTTCCTGTCCCCTTTATTGTCAAGACATAGGATCTTTTCCTTTTGTCTTTATTTAAGGATAATCATTTCATTTCTTTAACTTTCCTCTTTTTATTTTTCAGTTGGGCGAGGCAACTTTTCTGTAATAAGTGCCAAATCCGGACGAATGAGCAAGGTGAGTTTCTTGCATAATTTAATTTTTGTTTGAAATACATTTGTACTCTCGAATAAAAAGTAAAAAACAAGTATTTGGATTAAAACTTTTAAGCCATGGTATTTAAAGTGCTGATCTCTGGAAGCAGGTGTCTCAATTTGTGGTAAATTGACTCTCTCAGAAACTTACTGCTTAGAGTGCAGAAAGCAATCTTTATTTTGAGATTTCTGATTCCATTAGTACCATAAGAGAGACTTATGCACTTTTTGGCGATAGAAAAAAGGGTTACATGGACTAAAATTTTAAGGTCGAAATCGAAAGTTTTTCGATCCAGCTAAAGCCAAGTTACTTCCCTTGGAAATGACCCACTGAGTCCGATTTTCTGGTCTAAAAAGCTTCTTGAGTATGCTGGACTGTACCAACAGCGAATAAGCGTATGCTGGTGAATCATCAAAAACGGTCAAAAACACCCGTTTCTTGGCTTTGAAAGCCGCTGGGATCCTTGAGACAATGCTCAGTCAATTTTACACCTCGAACTACGTAGGATTCGACCCTAATCTCGAAATTTTTTTTCTTGTCCAAAATCGAGAAAAATCAGCAGTTTATGAACGACAATTGTGATCCGAGCTCAGTTATTAGTCACGTCAGACCTTTCTCCAACTTTGGGTTAAGAATTTCATTTTGAAACTGAGCAACACCCTTTGGGCTAATCTTTCTATTCATCGTGTATTGTTTTTCAGAAGAGTAATTTTGGAGATCTGCTGGAAATAGAGGTAGAAGGAGAAGGAGAACGTCAAGGTCAGTGGTTGAGAAGGCGGAGACTGGATGGAGCTCTGAACCGGGTTCCAAAGGACTTTTACAGCAGGGTCTGGAGTGTTCTTGAAAGGGTAATCTCTCTTTTTTCTCTCTTCATTTCTCGTGCAAAAAACACGCTAAGTTTGAAAATGCCCTTGTTGGTTTCTAGAGGTTTTTCAATTTGATTTTAAGAACCTAAAACATCTGTGAACAAAGGTGATTCATCATATCTCGATTCAGAAGATTCCAATTAAACGATTTCAGACAGTCGAACTCACGAAAACAAGCAAGTGAAATAGCAAGAATAATAACCAATTTTTTTTAAAAATTTCTCAAACCAGTTTCGTCTGACTAGCTCAATTTGTATACTTATTGACGAATTTATCTTAATCTTCAGAATTTTCTTCTCTGATTTCAGTGTCAAGGCTTGGCGATTGAGGGTCGGTTGCTACCTCCTAACCTTACTCAGGAGGTATGTTTTATGGATATTTTTAAACATAAATTGCAGCTTATAAAGCCCATTCTTCATCTTCCCAGTGAACCCTTTAATCTGTTACCTCAATGCAATGGCAATGTCCCTTCAATGGCAGGATTTTCTCATCCGAATATACTTGAGGCGAAAGAACTGTTTCCTATGAACTACAGGGCGGGTCAAAGAAAAACTTTTTTTTGATTTTGACTTAATGAATTACTACTCTTTGAAAAATTTGAGGCAAATAATTGGCCTTTTATTGCAGTGGTTTCAAACTCATCAACCAATGAAAAGTTGAGGATGATCTCTCGAAAATATGTTTGAAGATAAAAAAAAAATATTTTTTTTTCTTTTCGTTCGACTAATTTTCTCCAATATTCTATCCATGTTTCAGATGACATCTGGAGAATTGAAGTTTGCTCTAGCAGTAGAATCAGTTTTGAATTGTATTCCACAACCAGAATTCAGGCAGTTGATTGTTGAGGCTCTAATGGTACTTACCATTGTGGCAGAACATACGCAAGATGCTCTCGGTGGGATCATCTCTGTCGAAAGTTTAGTCCACAAAGCCAATCAGCTCTTTCTTGATGATCAGGTAATACTTTTTTAAATTGTTACTCTTACTCATGGTGTCTAACATTTTTTATTGAGTCATTTCCTGATTTTTCCCTGATTTTCCCTAATTTTCAGGAGCTTATTCCCTAGCGAGAAACTGGAGTTTTCTCCCACTGCCTGGAGATTTTCGTGGAAAAGAAATTTTATGACTCTCCAGTGTTCCAGCCATGAATGTCGAATTATTTTCATCTTTTAGCTGATTCCTTGGCGTACATTCAAATTTTTAATTCCAAAGCGTTCCTGGTGTTTGTATTACCTATCTGGTTAATGAAATCTTCTCTATCAGTATGATGATTTGAAGATTCAAACTGTCATTCAAAATGTTAGTAACAGCAGCTCAGATGCAACAACACAAACCTTAATAACAACAGGCACCTAAAATTTCCGCAAAAACGAAAGGGTTTCTAAGCAGTAGGAAAAGGGATTCCCGATTCCTCAAACAGATTCCCCAATTTTTCCCTCCCTGATGAATCCCGGTCAGTCCCAGTTATCCCTAATAGTATAGACAAATGAGCGTAAGAAAATGCATTTCTGATGACAAATTTTGTCCTGTTTCAGTTGAAAATGAATGGAGATGCTACTCTGTGTTGTGCTAAAACACCTGGAAAGAGAGAAATAACTCCCAGCGGGATGTTACTCTGTGGTGGTGCAGCTCATATTTGTCAGCACTTTTACGATAGTGCGCCAAGTGGGAGTTACGGTACCATGACATTCATCATGCGTGCTGTTGCCATGCTTCTTGACTGCTTCAACCACGATGAAGAAATCGACTGCACAATCTCTTAATGTAAATATGATCATATCATGGAGTGGAGTTTTGCGTCAACTGAAAAACATTAGTTTTTCCCGCTTGCTCCCATTGAACAATTTTTTTTGTGATCGGACTCTGATGTGAGATATTGAGTGACTTATTATCAGATGCCTTAGATTTTCAGAAGCAGGGTACAGATATTTTATCAATTTTTTTATTCTGAGGTAAATATATTTTTGAAGGTACAGAAATTCTTATTTTTTTTAGTTTTAGTGTATTTCTGATTATTTTGTTCAATCATATCGTGATGTTTTGCCTTGATGATGTTAAAAATAAAACAAGCATCTGTAAGTATTTAGTTTCCTCCCTCCTAAGGGTGGTTTCACAACTATAGCTCAAACAAATTAATTTTTTTTACCTTAAGCAATAAAACGTCGAGTGCCTGAAGTTTTCACTGATATTCACTGTGGTACATAAATAAATAAATTTAACCCTTCATAAATTTTAGTGTACTATTGATGCATTTGAATTTTCCAAAATATGGACTGTGGTCAAGCTTGTAAGTCTTACAGTTAGTCAGTTCATCATACCTTACAGGAGGTAATTAAACAAAAGAATGAATTAGATAGATTGTCCCATGCCTCATCTCTTGCAAAACGACGTTCCTTTACAATTTAATGTTATGCTTATTATTAGTCAATATTTTTCACACCAAGGAGCCAAAGATTTTAAGCTAGTCGATGTTGTAAATCACCAAAAAGGCATTATTCTATAATAAATAATATGTATATGTAATTAAAGACCAATTAAAATGAAACTTAAAATGATCTGAATTTGTCTGAGTTGTTCCCATATTGTTTACAAGTTAACTAGTTTTTAATTTTCAATAGTTTGTATGAAATTATACTAGAGTTCTGTCTTTTATTAGTATGGATGTAACAGTTTGTCAATGATAATATTGCACTCTTGTTCTGATTTTATGTTTATCAAGTCACCCATCAACATCAAAACCATGAAAACACTGTAACACATTTCGCTGCCTGCAACTGGAACGAAAACATATTTGTCTCTTGGCGTAGTAATCTTTTAAATGAAAACAAAGGAAAGAAAAAAGAAAAAGACCTAGATTTAAAAATGCATGATTTTATTTTCAACTTGTATCCCAAGAGTACCTTAAAAATTAATGTTTTAGAAAACTAATGAGAAAAAACTTAAAAAAAAAAAAGTTATTCTTTGGGACAGAACGAATCAATAGGCACCCTTGGACCGGACTCTCCTATCCTATTTTGACGAATGAACGCAGCCAGAAGATAAATACAATTTCAGAACAAACCCATGTAAAAGCAAATGCAATATGTGTTTTTAAATAATGCAAGTCATTAAAAAACTTGATCATCACAATATTATTACATTGTCTGCTGGCCATTTTGAGAAACCTGGTTTGTTTTAGTTGACAAGCTGTTGGAATATTTAATTCAGGAAAGAAGGCTTTGTTATAGAATTTTAGGGTTGTGGTATGCAGAGAAAAATCTTAATTTCAACCTTAATATGTTATTGTAAGTGAATAAATTCCCTCTCTTAAAATAATATTTTACCCCAGGAAGTTATCAAGCAAGCCTTTCCAAAGAATACATAAATGAGGCTAGATGATACACTGTTTGCTTGTGAAAAAGAGAGACTTTAGTTTACGTTAATACAAGTTTTTATATGTTCGTCTTTTCATAGATAGCTGCAAAGGCTAGTCAGGTTTGCTGAAACGTTTCTTTTAGAGGCGAATGATAGGAAAGTTTTGGATGGTTTCATCCTAGAGAATGGCTCTTAAAAGAGGTCTGGTGAACCTTTCAAGTGGAAAATACTCTGATGAACTTCTAATCGCTGCGATTTCTGGGCGTCAGTAGCTGAAGGCATCAGGTTACTTTATAGTAAACGGTGAATAATTAGAACCATTTTACAGTCCCACATTAGAGTGTTGCGACTTCATTCCAGATTATTAATCTCCCCCCTTTTTTTTTCATTTCTCTCAACCAAAATCTCCTGGAGAGATGTATCTATCCAGAGAGATGTATGTGTATGTCTCTGTCTTTCTTCACGAATACAGAGGATAACTAACTGCTAATTTGTATGTAATGGAGCGTTTTGTCAGAGATAAGTTAAACAAATCTGGAATGAGGTAGGTGCTAGTGTTTTTGATTAAAAAAGCAGATTTTCTTTTGTATGTGCCTTTACCTTGAAAGAGATAAATTGAATTTTTGTTTTTTAAATTGTTCATTATCTTTGCATTGAAACTGTCTAGTACTTGATTGATTCTATCTTATCTTTCTTACTGTAAAATTTTGTTTTGGATTCAATAAAATGTTTTCAATAATTCATTAGATTGTAAAATCATTTTCTGGCACAAAACAGTTGCCTTCAAATTTTTGCGTACAGTAAAATATCCATAAATACTGATGGATTGAAAAAAGAAAAGCTCTTATTGTTTAAGAAAAACTAATCCCTTTCTCTTTTTGTAGTATAACCTATACCTAATTTAATTTTCAAACTTATACAAAAAGAAAGCAAGCAGGCATAAATTTATCACAGTTCCACTTGATGAAAAAATTCAAGACAGCAGCTAAAAACAGCTTAAAAATGAAATCTGAATGACGAAAAACGAGTTTTTCATTTTGTGGTTGCAGTATTTGACATACTTGGTTTCGCCTTTTCTCTTTGCCACTAGACAGAGGGCATTATCGACAGGATCTATCACCGTTCCCTGGAAAAAACAATGATAGAAAATCAAAGTGAGAAATTTTCAAAATCCTGAAAAGGATAGTATCATTCAGACAATCACATATTTTTTTTAAAATTGTAGCTTCCTCCAAACTCCTCATAGGTTGAAATGAACAGAACTGATTAATGATTTCATGGAGTTTTGATGAACCACATCATGCGCTTTGAAGACAGAATTCACTTGATAGATAAGATAGACCTGTATTAGTGACTACTACATCAATGAAACTAACATCCTCATTTGATACGATGAAAGAAAGGAACCAAACTCATACTTAATAATTTAACTTCTAAGAAAAAGTGCAATGACAGCCATTGTGTGAGTTATTGAGTGCCTTGAAAAATGTTATCTATTTTAATGAGCAGGCATTTAATGAAATGCGACTTAAATTATTCAAAGGTTCACTACTAGTACATGTTGGGCACCATTACAGGAGTAATTGACGTATCAGCAATTTAGTCTGGCTAGTCTTGACGTATTGCGAATAAATATGAAAAAACAGAACTCAATTTTTTGTCCCTCTTGCCTACTTCAAATATTTTCAGATCACAAAGCTCTATGTAATTTGCAATGGGTAGAATGGTTTTACTCAAAATTAGAAATGATGTTAAACATCCTCATATACTGAACCCCTCTCATTACAAAGGTTAGTCTTTTGACACATTTCTCACCTCCTCGTCCTCCGTTGCAGGAGAATATAAAACAGTTCCACCAGTTTCAAAAAGACCTTGATAGACACCCTCTACATTGAAAAATAGATACATATCCAAGCCTTCAGTTTCCGATGACTGATTTTCATCGTACAGGAGTGAATAGTATCCGCTCTTCCACTTTTGAACCTCTATCGTGATTCCACCACCTGTGACGATAGAAAATAAAGATTTAATTTTTAATCCACATGTTTTACAAGAAAATAAACTGGGGAAATCTATTAAAAGTGTCACCTCCCTAGAGGCAATGATTATATTTTGCAGCTTTTAAGAAAAACAGTTGAATTTAATTGAATATAGAGGGATTATCTTCAAGATAGACTAAAATCAACATGTTTTTTGATTGGGTAAAAATTCATTTCCTTTCTCAAGACGTTGCTTCAAGTGTTGGTTAAAGGGACCTCAACTTCGCTTTACTCAACTTAAAATCACTTTTCATGTAACAAATTTTAGGATAAAGACTAAAAATACGTGGAACAGCTTTAAAAAAACATATTTCAACACATCATAGTTAAATTACCAAAATAAAATTTGCACTGACATTTTAAATGCTTAATGCGACAGATTAAAAAAATGAAAACCTGCATAGTCAAAGATGTTATATAATTTTGGATGCATAGAGGAGTCAGTGTTCTTACCATTTTTCAACATTTTATTCAGCTTCATGTTGGTGATGCTCTCTAGTAATGTCAACATTGGTTTGGATGTTACAACAGTCAGTAGCGATTGCAGCGTCAATTCTAAGGATCCTTCATCAGCGCAGTCATAATTTCTGGAGACAAAATAAAAGTTTATAAAATAAACTGATACCTTTTTTCAAAGGATGAGAACTCTGAATAGCAGCAGTTTTCTCTGATATAAAGTAGTTGCTTGGCAGATTTCCTGCAGTGTGATCCGAAAGAAAGAGGGAGCGCATGGTAGCGCGATTAAAATTGTACTCATGAAGTATTTTCAGGTTCTTCATTTTTTTTCAACATAGAGCCAAAAGACAGCGGGTTAAAATTGGAGATAAAATAAAAAATAAAAGTATGGACTTATACACAAATAACTTCGTTGTTGGTATTTTTTGCTCTTATTTTATTCAGCCCTTTTGGACCTTAGATTGTTTGACAGTTAAAATTAATGATAATTATGATTATTATGATTTATTTAGATTAATGATAATTTAAGAGGAATGGATTATTAATGTTTGGAAACTTACCTGCGATTTGGAGGACCTTTTTTCCGCCACTTGACTGAATATTGGAATAGATCCAGAAGTGCATTCTTGAAAACCCGCTCCAACAACGCATCAGGTAACATCACATTTCTGTTTTCTTCAAAAATGAGAGTCAAACCTTCAATCGTACTTTCAGTCAGGTATAAGGAATTGATGAAAGAGCTGAGATAAACGTTAGCCTGAAAAAATGCATGACTTCATATTAGATATTTATGTGCTTCTCGGAGAAATGAGATCTGTAGGTTTGAAAAATTAGGATCGGCAGAATCTGCATTTTTCAGTGCCTGAATAGACCGAGTATACATAAACTTGTTGTTGGTTTCGTTTTTATAAAATCAGGCTTTGATACAGTAAGAATTTTAGAGCCCTTGACATGATGGTTCTAGTTCTAAAAGTAGAAATTATGAACCCAATCCAAAACTTTGCAGGGCTTCAAATATCTAAAATATCCGATTAATTCCCACCGACTGAATGGATCATTCTCATTATTCAGTTGTTCGGTCAAAGTAAGTAATGATCCTAATTTTCAGCAAAGAGGTAGTACAGAAGAGGTATGTAACAAAAAAAGAACAGAAAGCACAGGAGACACTATGGTGGCAGACTTCTTACCGGTAAATTCTTTGGAAGGCGCAGTGGTGGAATGGTGTCAATGTACGCAACTGGATCAAGAGGAGGTCTTTTTGCATGAAACCAACCATTGATGGTTAAACGAACAGCGTCTTTACTTACAACTTCTGATACCTAAAATCACGTAAAAAGTTGTTTTTAAGAACCATATTAATGTGAGAGAGAGGTTTAGCCGAATTTTCCTGGCTGTTCAAGCTATTCAACTTTTTATCAAAAGCTTTATCCCAGCAGGATTTTGAATTCTCAAAGATTTTCTTAGTTCTTGCTATAAATAAAATAATGCATCTTCAAATGATTTTTCAAGAGGGATTATATACTATAAAATGAAATGAAACTTGTCTAAATTAGAAAGATTTAATGAAAAATAAATTTTATTAAATTTTACCTGATGATATGTATAGTTTCCAACTTGAAAGCAAACAAATGAGTTGAATTCAGGGAATATCTTTCGCACTATGGAATTTGGCTGACCATCATCTGCAAGATAAATCATAATGACAATAGGTTACTAATCAAATCAAAGCATGCTGTGGAATAACACCAAAAAAAGATGTAGACATCATACATTTGTATTCATACGTTGGACGAATAGGCACTAGTCATGTAACATGAAGAAGCAACTTAATTTATCTGAACTGAATAGGAATTACTTACATTCATACTTTTAAATTAAATTTTCCCTTTAATTTTCTTGTAAATCCTGTTAAAACCATTCAAAGAATACTGAAGATGCCTATGATATTCCACATCTTTGGATGCATGTTGGTTAAAAGCATGAGTTTATATCTTAAACATCAGCATAGATTGGAATGTCTTGGCAGGGTGCTTTTATAAATTTGATGTTTTCCAGTTCCTTCATTGTAATGAGCTACATTGTAAGTTGCCTGATTACATTTACCCATTATTTTACAAGCATTTATTATTCTGTAACACGATCCAGATGCCTGATGGAAATACTGAGAAAAGAATCTTACCATCTTGATTGAAAAGATCTAGTGAACCTCCCCAGAGAGGCCTCCATTTTTCACTTAGATACCAAATGAAAGCAATGGCACGATCCTCACATTTATCATCATGACAGAGAAGATAATCTGGAGAAAAAAGAGAAGTATAATGAAATGATTGCATGCTATTTTCTTGGGAGACAAAGTGTAACTGAATAGATAACAATGGGCTTAGAATTGAAACCCAAGAACAAAAAACTCTTTAATTAAAAACTATAGCTATCACTACGTTTTACACCCGGGAATTCATTCTTCCTCTAAGACTCCATTATAAAGGTCAGTTTTTAACTTGGAGAGAATGATGAACTTTTTGCAAAGATGTATCCTTGACAGCCGAACAAACTTCTTTCCTCAAAGGGATGCAAATCTAGGAGTTGAGGGAATTCGATTCTATCTCAAAATGTGGGAAATTATGTTTCGCTTCGCTTTTCCTTTTTTTAGGTTGGTCGCAGGCAAACTCATTTCATTTTTTTTTTTTTTTGCACACTTTCTAATGACCTCCTTCAAATTGAGAGAAAAGGAGCAATACTCATCTAAAATGTGGAAAAGAGCTCAAACAAAGAGGCATACACAATTTTAAAGCAAAACGACAAAAAATTTCAAGTCAAACGACAGTTACAATGTTTGAAAATTTAGAGCTCAAGAGCTTACATACTTTTGAAGACCAAAACTTGTTCCCTTAAAAGTGTGGTTCAAAAATATAAACTAAATCGTACTGAACTAACGTAAATCAATATAAAGCTTTAATAAGTCATGATGGGGGCTCAGAAATTTTGAATTTGAATGCATTTTTTATGTCCTGAATTTTCATATGTTCATAACCTAAGGTATTACCAGATGTTTTCCATGAAAAAATGAAAATAGTGCTTTAAGCAAAAACCTACATGACTCATGAAAATTGTTTTCCAAGGAGTAAGGTGCCTTTTCACGGGGACAATTTAAACAAGTTCATATTTACTCACAAGCTTCAGAAAGGTTGCCTGAAATGTAGTACAGCTGAAGAGAAAGTAAATTTAGCCCTGTAAAAAAGTAAAATATTCCCTGTTCTGAACCCATGTGTACCACACTTTCTTCAATCTTTAATTCTTTTCTATTGATTGTTCCAGCTATCCAATGTTAAAAAGATACTGGACCTATCTTATACTCCAGATTTTTATGGTGTTACATACCTCCATCTAAATATTTAGAGGCAGTTATGGAGATGGTTGGCTTTAGTTTGATTTTGTAAAGCTTTGATAGTAGTTTCGCCACATCTTTTTCAATTAAGGAGATTAATTTTTTGATAATCGGTGAGTGAATGTTGTGTAGGTCTGTGGTGGCTTTGGAGCAATGGAGATCATTATCGTTTTCATCAAACTCCAGGCGATCTAGATTTTTTATTAGTTTCCTGATTGATGCTTTACCCTTGATGAAGTTTTCGAAGCGTATCACTTCAAAAGGCGAGGTAATAACTTCTGCATATTCTGAAAAAAGAAAAAGAAAAAGGAAAAAAAAAAAAAATTAGGAATGTTCACAAAACAATGAAATACGTAACAGTGGAAGCAGTTCAAACAGTGAAGTGTTGATGAAATAAATGAATGAAAATTTGCTATCTGCCCAACCTTTAGTTGAAATTAGCAGGGTTTATACATACAAGGACAAGTTTTTATCTACTTATGGTGAATTCATTTTTTTTCTTCAATTTCTTTGGAAGGTGCAAATACACTATATATTACTTAGGTGCCTGTAATCATTCATCATACTTGCTACCATCAGAGTTACCTATCGGAGGGAGAACAAAATCAGGCAGCAAAAAATTCTGCACTCGATAAAGTCAACCACCATCATTGAAAGAGCCTGGCATAGGCTCATTACATGGCCCCTGAGCCTTGTAGGGATATGACACGTGTCATTCATATGAAGGTGCTCAATCAGGCGTTGAAGGGCACAATAGCACTTATGCTACAGCCTAGACCTCATGAGTGTGCTTTGCTGTTCAGCCCAGCTGTACTCCTATAGCTACTACTATTGTGCTTGAGTTCAAATATCTAACTAATCCACGGAGACATGTCTGAAAAGATCATCCAAACTTCATTCAACTTTTTCACTTATTCTAAATTCAGATTCTTGATGTCACTGATGATAATGATTGAGTATGGAAAGATGAAACAGGCACTAAACCCTAAAATTTTCAATGTTTCATTTTCTGCTGGCCTAATCCTAGGTGTTCCACTGCTTTGAAGCCTAACACAGGACAGTATGTAGTGCCATTTTTGGGCTTTTTTCCCTTAAGAGTTGGTTCTCTTTACTTAATGATCTGCAGCCACTGGTACTTACCGTCAAACTTATTTCTATAACTAATCCATTGTTGCTGATATCCTGACCAATAGCGGCACTACTGGTTGATCAGGTACCACCCATCAGTGATCAGCAGAAATGGTGATTTTTTCACTACAACCAATCAGTGATTTTTGTGTGGCTATCATCAAAGGCAAACCTTAACCGAAGGTGGATTCATCAATCGGAGCGAGGAAACCTCTAGAGCTCCCGCCAGATAACGCCGATAGAATGGCAGTTGTTGACTTTAGAGTCTCGTACGGAGTTAACCGATTCATGTATCAGCGCACGACAGCCTTGTCACCTTTGCCTCTAAAAAAACTTTCGTCACTATTGGATGGCAGCAGAGAGGTCATCTACTGGCAGAAAGTAAACAACTGCCAACTTTTCTTACTGGAGCTTTTACAGCTCATTGATTGGAATAGTGACCAGAAAAACTGAACTAAAGGCAAGGACCGAAAGAATAAGAGAGGGAGAAATGCAGAATTTGTCTACTTACTAGATTCTAGAGGAGTCTTGTTTTTTAGTGCTTTGGAAATTTTAGGAAACTCCAACAGCAAATCATCATTGAGGCGCATGATCTCAACATTGAATTCACTAAAAAAAAAAGTTGGAAAAAAGATGTTAAAGGGTGCAGAATTCACAATAAAAATCAGTGATGTAGTTTGGTAATTTTCAAGTTAAATAGATACGTTGAAGCGAGACTTAATTTTGAAATTAAAGGATATAACACGGTGATGACAGGAATGGTGTGATAACGACATGATAAACGACTTAACCTCAAAATATCTCGTGGTGAGTTGGTGACACGGAAAGAAAACAAACCATTCATCGATGCCGCACATGTAAATAATAACCTCTAAATTCTATTCTCTCTCTCTCTTCCTCTGCATGAGTCTACTCATGCATCTAATTTTTTTTTTAGTCATTTACTATATTATTTGATAAAATGATTGAAGAAAAGAAATCAACATTAAACGCTGAAAAGGTAATCAGAATTTTATTGTTAAATTTTTTTTTTTCACTCTGCTTGTTTTCTGTCTCTCAAAAGTCTTTCGTGTTTGCTTCTGCGCTAACTTGTTTTTGGGATTGATTTGATGAATAAGGTTTTTTCTCCTCATGATTTCACTCTTAGTTGGTGATGATTATCTCTGATGTAAGTTTTTGTAGTATTCTCTGTCAACTTCAGGGCAGTCAACAACCAGGCGCTCAGTACGAGCGCCAGTATTTTCGAAGCATTTGCAGTAAGCGATGCCACTACATAGTTTACGGACTTCTAGACAGCCTTCTTCTCTTTGTCAAATTTTTAATCATGTTTCCTTCCTGTCATTTTTATTAGCTATTTTCTTTTGCCACATCTACATATACTCACTTGAATTTTTTCTCCTTTTCATGTTAATCACAGGTTCAAGCATCGGTCAAAGCACTGAAAAGCCTCATTAAAAGTAAATCAAAGAAAAAGAGTCTATTTAATGAGGACAACCATCAAATTCTTCTTCAGATCACCTGTGTCAAAGTGCCGGATGTCAAGTGTACAGGAATATTACGACCGTAAGTATAGTCATAGGAATTCCATAGGGCTTTTTTTTTTAATCCGTGGAACGCGATGATAGTGGTTCGGGTTGGTTCAACCAGCCTGAACCAACCTCAACCTACCTCGGGAGAGTGGTCCAAGCGTTCCACTGGAACACATGGAACGCACTGAATCGCGCCAGTGGAACGCGATAAAAAAGTGATGCGTTCCGTTGCGGTCCACTGTGATTCGGATAAAAAAAAGCCCTCATCACAACATTTTCAAGTTGAGTTCGACAGCCAAGTTAAAAATATGCAAGATGAATGCCTCAAAATAATTAGTGATATCACCTAAGTTAATGCTACATTATTTTCACAAGATTTCATAAACCCTTCTGAAAATAAACAGAAATGTCCATATAATTTCACAATTTTCCATGAGACAGGTCATCTCTGTTATTTTTAACTTTGTGGCAGAATTAATTCGACTCAAATGTAGTTACCCGTACATTACTTTATTGCATATGATTACTCAAACTTATATTCATTTGTTTCCAATCTTTGTTTGTTTTGGATTAAGTAAGTAATGGCAAGTCCCAAGTTTCTTAAGTAACAAACAACTTCCTCATCAGTTCTTACTTACTCAACTTCTCCCGAATTTGTTTGCAGGAAGCTACCTAATTCATTAGTCACAAAATCTTCTGATGTATGTCTCATAACTGCTGACTTGCGCAAAGGTGTCAAAATAGATCATGAACCAACTGTAAGGTATTACAATCAGGTTCTAAACAGGCATAACTGTGATAGCTTAATTAAACAGGTAATTATTTCCAATTTTTTTACAATAACGGGGTTTTTCTTTCAGCAAGATTTGTGATTTTAGACGGGAGTCTTGGAATTTAAATCTCAAAAAATAATTCCTGCAATACCTTGATAACGTAGGAAATGATTCCGATAATGATTTTGACATTGACAAGCTGTTGATTTGGGTTCTGTACGCAGTTTTGAGCTCTTATTCAGCTGTTTCCAGGAATTTTAAGTATAATTCAAGTCTTTTGAGTATTTTTCACAAATTCAACATCAGGTTCAATGTGTCATTTGCAAATCGTAGTTGCCTCCTATGCTGCAGTGATGGCAAAGAACTGTTTTCAAAGGTGAAACTGCAGGAACATGTATCCTGGTTGCGGTGTTTCAAAATTTTTTCTCTTTTTTTCTTTTTTTTTTTTTATCAAAAAAGAGCAAATTAAATCTATTGCTTGACATAATCACAGAATATTTTTCACACAAAGAAGAAAATCAAGATAGTTTTCTCAAAATGACGTCGAGTATTTTTTGACCAAAAAATTAAAAATGGTATGATGTCTGCAATGTCCCTAGTCAAGATATGACCAAAATACAGGTTTCTGCAGTCTCACTGTCGCACTGCAGGCTTACCTTTATTCTCCAGTAACATATGCTCCTTTGTTTCATGGCACTTAAATGATTTATTATCAGTTTTCTTTCATTTGATTGAAGTAATTCTCACAAATGAATTTGGCTGCACACATTTCTGGAATGTTTCATTTTTTATTCCTTTTTCAGATTGTCCCATTCCGTCAAATCAGGGCAGAATACAGCACATATGAAATGAAGAGGAAGTTCTCCAATATGTATGATTTTTACCTTGCTGATGGCAGAATATCTGAAAGACTTGTTAAACAATTAGGAAAACCTTTTTTCAAAAATCGAAAGTAAGTGGTGTATTTTTTCAACTTCTTGCCCCCACAAATAAAAAAAAAAACTAATTTATGAACAGTGTGCAGAATAGTAGCCAACTAAAATTTACATCGTAAGGTTTTGAATGTATTGATCCTTTAAGTTAGAACAGAAAAATTACTTTTTTAAATATTTCATTTTTCACAAAATCAATACAAGTTAATGAGCTTGACTCAACTTTCTTTGAACTTCTTTAGGAGTTATTTTTGAATGTCAACCCCAGGTTTTGCAAAAAAAGGAAAAACCCCCTTTACCAAATTGTATTTTGCGTACTTTGTTCGGCATTGCAAAATCTCAAATTTTAGTGTGACATAATGAATGAACACTTGTTTCAAACTTTTTGCTTAAACCAAATTGTTCTCAAGAAAAAATCGAACCTCATCAGCATCACAACAATGAAACTAGTTAAAAATCTAAGGCTTAATAGGGATGGTGTAAGTTTTTTAGTAAGATTTTTTTCTGATGGAGGACATACATAAAAAAATTAAAAGATCTAGCAAAATGAGCTCCAAAAATTTTTTATGAAAATCTCATTATTTTTGGTTTTTTGGTCTTGTCTTTTTAAATTGTTCAAGGTTTGTCTTTTAACCTTGGTTTCGTATTCAAATATTTTTTCATCATTTTTTCTTAATCATTTGTCTTTTCTTTTTATTTCAAAGGTTTCCGATTCCTGTGAAATTTGATGACAACGTAGGAGAAAACATCAAAACTGCACTTCACAGATCACATCTGCTTGTTGACGGTAAAGGACAAACCTCTATTATGCAGGTAATATTTTGCCTCTTACTTCTCTTATTTTTTTTTCTTGTCAGTTCTGCATCGGCGGATCTGGCAAATCGGCAACATTGTCTTTTCTCCGTTTAAAACTATGGAAATGAATCGATTCTTAGAGGGGCCAGGTGTTCCTACAATAGTCGATTATTTAGCGTAGATTTAAATGGAGGAAACCTGTGTTGTCAAATTCCTGGATCCGCCTCTGCAGTTCTGTCTGATACCCAGATCCATTCATGGTCCGAGACAATCTTGTCTTTGTGAAGCGGACGCTCTTATCAATGAAGGCTCAAGTCTGCTTAACCTTTCTTTTAAAATATGGAATTAGTTAAAGCAAATCACCAACCAAACTCTTAAAATGTTGACTGCCATGCTGGTTCAGAAGCATCAGCAGTGACTGGCCTCACAAAGCTTAGAGAACAGTTGGAGAAAGCACCTAGTAGACACACATAGCGAACTGTCAAGGAGTGAAGAAATTACAAAAGACTAAAGTTGCGCTTTTTTCAGAATACTGTAATGATGTTAAGTGCTAGCAGCATTCAAAAAGCTACTGAACTATGGCTTTGGTAAACGGCAACAACTCCAACATTTTTCACATCACTTGCCGCTGCTATTATATTATATGCTGTATAACACTTAATTCTTCACTAATTCTTGAAGTGAGTTTTTTTTTTTTTGTCACGTTACAAGCAAGGAATAAAGATTTACAAGGGCAAAACTAAGGAATGGAATTTTAACTCTGAATATCCTTTTTCACCTTTGGAAATGTAGCAGAACTTGGGAAGATTCAGTCAGGAGTAAAATTGCACCTCTTAACCTAAGAAAAGTACTGAATCCCGGACTGGATGTGTGGAAGGAGGAAAAGGAGTTAAGGGGCTGGAACCTGTCTCTTGCAGCACCTACTGAAGGGCTGCAAATTACCACACACCTTTTTATTGCAGCACCTACTAAGGGGTGGCAAATTACCAGATGACTACTGTCCAGGTGACCTAAGTCATGCATGCCACTAAGTCAGTCGGTAAAACGGATGAAGGAATAGCTAATCCTTTTCAAAGAGGCATTAATGCCAATGAAGCCCATGTGTGGCAGCACGATAAATTTAGGCCTGATTCGGTTTAACATATGGAATCGCTAGTTTGTCTTGTAAATATTGTGCTTGTCTTAATTTTCTTGCAATTTTTTTTTACCCAGGTGGGTCACTCTGGAATGAAGATAGCTCAAATTGCAGAAAATGTTGTAGCAGTTGCTGATTTCCTGGCGGAGAAGTATCCAGGCGGCTGGAGCAATGTGCGAAGCCTTCACATCAAAACACCCAATTCCAAAGCTGTTCCCGTTTTCTACAGGCTAAGTAAGGACTCCACATCACCATTATTCTGAGAAATATTTCGTATCCAAACAATTATTATTCTACAAAAAAACTGCTTAATTTGATTCTCGAAAATTAAAAAAAATTCCACATGATTTTTTCTAGATTCTCTTTTGTCTAAAGAAGGTTAACCCAAGCGGGTATCTTATCTTATTGTGTTGGTTTTTCTTTTTTATACCTAAATATTATCAGTGGTGTTTGGTAGACATCCGAGTATCCAAATCAAATCTTATAAAATATTTCAACCTCAGAAAAATTAAGAGTATCTCTGTAATTATTTAATTTGTTTTCAGGGTTTATTTTTGTAATTGAGGGAATGTAGATAGAATAGAAAAAAACAGTGATGTTTAAACTAAAAAGGATAAATACTGTCATCAATCAAAATGCTAAGAAGCTCTTAGTTCACTCGCCTCATTGTCAGACAACTGTTTTAGAGCCTTGTTCCATCTTTCGCTCTCATCCTGACTGATAGAGGAGCGTAATAAGAGCTGAGGATTGAGTGAGGCTCATGAACAACTTTCCAACAATAAAGTGATTGAACTAAAAGTTTTTTCAAATTTTGACAACTGGATTCATCCTTTTCCTGTAATTGACTTCAAACTTTCTTTCAATAAATTGCCCATTCACTGTCACATAATTTTCCACAGACTAAGAAAATTTCTTTTTGGAGCCTCAAAAAGAAGGCAGCAGAGCTATTTCTATAAGAAATTCAATCAAATTGAATTGCACTAATTTTGATTTGCATTTTTATCCAGTTTCTCCAAATGATGTAACAAGACCAGTCTGGGAGAAATCTCAACCAAAGGCAGCTGTTCCAGTCTCAGACTTTGTTAATACATGCATGAAGAAGGTCACTGTTATGCCTGATGGAAACGTAATTGTTGGTGAAGCTGAGGTAAGTGACCCCCCCCCCCCCTCCTCATTAGAAACTGGTTGGTTTTCATTTTTATAAGTGTGTGTGGACGCAAATTTCTCTTCACCTTGGATAAAGAGCCAGTATGCAAACAAACTTATTGTTCTACAAGGTTGTGCGAAAGGTACATTATTGAATCAGTCGATGCTGGCAATGGAGAAAAGTCTATTTCTCGGGAGGGGGGCAAAGTCTTCTCAACTGCACAACTATGCGGTTGCGAACGAATTTTGGACATGCTTAGAAAATTGTCAAGGCTGATTTTCTTAACAGGGCTTATTGTTGGTTTTCATTTTCATGGAAACACAGCATGTCAAAAAATACAACAACCTTTTAATGAGAGCATTGTGTCCGCCTTTTTGCAAAAATGAAGAAAATTTTGACTAGCACAATGTGTTCTTGACCTTTTTGCAAGAACACATCGCATTTCAGAAAATTCTAGTCTTCACCAGTTGCAAGCGGCTGGTAAAAACTGGGCCAAAACTGCAGGTATCCAGCTTAGACAGGGATTAACATTTAACTTAATGCTAAAAAAATAGCCAGTTGCATAGTATTGAGGATAACCGCTCCAAATAACATGTATAGCTCACAAAATTTAGAACCATTCGCATGTTTTACATACTTTTTTAGCCCTTCTAGATTTACTTTGAAATTTTGACATATTTTCTAGACATGTAGACATCCTGATTATAACTATTTAAACTCAGTTTTATAGCAGATAATATAATATTCTTATTGGGAGAAAATTTGTAATTCTGTGCTACATTTGGAAGTCAAATATATGTAGTAACTAGTAAGTAAATGATAGCAGTCCAAAAAACTTGAATAACTCATTCATAATTTCTGTTCTAGGTATCGGATGAAGAGGAGGCTCCGCAACCTGTGGTTGAGCCATCAGAGGCCACTGAAAAATCAGCGAAAGGAACGGAAGAACTGCCTAAAAAAGCAAAAAAGAGGAAAGTGGAGATTGAAGATGCTGAGGCTGAATATCTAAGCCAATGGAAACAAAAATTCGACAGAAAGATGGAGAAAATTGAAGAGAAAATCGAGAAAAGAGAGAGAAAGAAGGCGAACAAGAAGTTGAAGAAGCAGGATTCCAAGGCGAAAGAAATGAAGAAAACCACTAAGAAAAATGTTAAAAAATCAAAATGATTGTTTCCATCAATTTCATAATTTTGTTCTCTAATATATTTTTATATTCTCTCTTAACTTTCTTATTTTTGCAGAAAACTGAAACCACCAATCACTTAACTTATTACAAAACGGGACCATGCCTGAAAAAAGATATCGACAGTGAAACTCTCAAACCATGTATCTCTTTTGCGGTGTTCTTAAATCTCACCTCCCGTTTTACTATTTTGAAGAAGGACAAATCAACATCATTCCTTGAAGTTCTTACAGAATTCTCTTCATCCAGAAAAGAAAAATCACAGAAGTTTTAAAAAAATCGCTGTTCAGTAGTTTTCCTTTTAATATAAATAATGCATGTGTAATGTGTGAAATACGAAGTTGTTTTAATTTAGATAGTTTCAATTTTTAGAAGTTAAGTTCTAAAAATAAATGTATTCAATTTAAAGTTTATTACTGAATAGGATTGAAAAAAGTTGAATATAAAAATATAGAAATTAAATGAAGATTTAAATTGCAATAAAAGTCTGCAACATCACAAACCGAGATACATTGTTTGGGGGTTGCTTCGTCGATATATGTGTCCTAGCTGTTATGAAATGTGTGTAAAGTATTGAATCTCCTTTGGACCAAGTTGAACAGAAACACAGCAAATCATATTTAAGAATAAAATGAGCTGGGAGTAGTTTTGAATTCACCCAGTCGTTTTTCTCCTGTCAAGAATTCGAAGTTGATTCGAAGTTGAAAATAGCCATTAAACTTTGTCTTTGACAAACGTCTTATGGTGGAAGAGAAACTCTGGTCTCCTTTTCTCGGTTCAAATTTGATGCCTTTCTAATAAATACTCTATTTTATCACCACTTTTTTTCTTTCATGCTACACATTAAATTTCTATAATCAAATACAAGCTAGAAGGGGGAAAGACCATTAACTAAAAGAATAAAATAAATTATTTTATTAAAAGTTGAGACAATTTTTAATTTTACGTAACAAAGGAGCTGATAAAAAATAACGATTGTTACATTCTAATTTAAAGCCACAATAAAAGGAGCTAGGTTCTAGGCGACAAGTATTTCAAGCAATTACACATTAAAAGTCTAAAATCAGGGGGGATCTGGAGAATCGTACTAAAATAGATACGGTAATAATCAATCAATTTGACACACATCTTTCAGCAAGGCTTAGAAATGCTAATTTTTTTATTCTTTAAATGTAAAAATTGAAAAGCGGATGTCTACCACATTTACTGCGAAATGATCATCTTCTGCACATGATGAATTCAGTATAACTACTGCTGTGTCATTACTTCCACCATTACTGCTCCAGAGCTTGTGCGAAGAGTGACAAAATACTTGCCGATTACATTAACGTTAAGTACCATAATTGTGGTGTAAACTATCCCCCTTCTAAAAATCAGGAAGAGGAGCTCCTTAATCTTCCTTTGTTAACCCTCTTAATATTAAAAAAATACAAAACTAGATCATGCAGTTCTTGGCTTCATTTAGAAGTTGAAAGATGAAACAGAAAACAGATAAAAATAAACATATTTAATAAAACCTTCATTTTTCAACAATGGATGGTTGGCAATAATGACAAACTTTGACACATAACTGGAAAAATTGTTTTTCATGAAGCAAAACAGTAGATAAAATTACTAAGCAAATTCTTAATTCTGACTGGTATATCTTAGCATACTGCTTTAGAAATTAAAAAAAAAAAAAAAAAAAAAAAAAAAAAAAAACACTGCTCAGCTTGGGTAAGAAAAGTTAATAGTACTAGTAAATTCTAAGTCTGAAAAAAAGCACAATGATAGGATTGTCATGAAATCAAATTCTTGAAGGAACACTTACGACTGCAAAAATATATAAGTGCAATTTGATGATATTTATTACCTATTAGAGCCCGTTTCGGATAACTTTGCCTTCTTCCCTACATGTAAGGAGTACAGAACTTCATACCCAACGCATACAATGAAAAAGGCAAAGTTATCTGAAAAGGGCTTTACATAGCAATAAACTAATAGATGAGGTATGAAATTATGCAGTGTAGTATATAAATAATACTAAATTGTACATAGAAAACTATAGACACACTAAAACTTTCCAAATCCAACTCATAAGAGGGGAAATAATCGTTTCTTGTTTGAATCAGTTTACACTACCCGTCCCTAAAAAACCCATGTCTACTTTAGTCAAAACTAACATTAAACCACTATCTGCATGTTTTACAATAGAATTTCCTATTGTTTTGACTTTTTTTTTGACACGATTGGAGGTACCATGTGCCAAAAGAGGAGGAGAATGAGTATGAAAGCAGACTCCAGTTATTAGCCTGAATTTTGGGTTGCTCTCAAAGACCAGTTTGACCTATATTTACTATGGATTTTTTGCGGGATTTAAGGTTATAAACATTAGTTTCTCACTGAATGAAATGATTTTTGAAACTGTCAATATATTCAACGTGTTTTACACATAATTTTGATGAGGTAACCAATCTTTTAGAGGTCCAATTCCTGCCTCTTCTTGTGATCAATTGGTGGGTAATTATTGTAAGACAAAATGTTTAAAGCCTGCTTTTTGGTGAGATACGACTGGGTCTGAAGAAAAATTTGAAGTTTTAAATAGAGCTTGTCCTGAAATTCAATTTCACAAACACGGGTCAATACAAAAATACATCTATTTCCAGGAGACCTTCAATTTGATTCTGATGATACGGTCTCTTGAAAATCTAAAATTTTAGGTTTAATTTGTTTCTGTTTCTTTTTAAACAAAATAAGGTGAAAAGAAGTCCACCTGCTAAAGCTTCCTATTCGGTTAGACTTTTTCTGCACCTTTACTTTCACTTAAAATGATGAGGCACTGGAACTCATCAAGAGCTATCCTCAGTCGGATTGATTACCATGCATCTCCATAAATTTCTTTAGGACAGATCCTTCGACAGGAATAGTCAGATGTTCATTGTCTCTGCGCCATTTCACTAGTTCATGATCAACAAATTCTGTTAAAAGCGTACGAAGTGATAAATCTGAACTAACAATAAAGTCTCGCTTGGCAGTGTCGTACAGTTGAACGAAAGACATCCCTGAAAATGAGAGAAAAAATTTTCTTATTTCACAAGACAGACGGAAAGTTGAATTAATCAAAATTAAAGAAACTTTGAGGCAGAACGTAGTCTACTGTTTCAAAACTCTACGTCTTCATAATCTTTTTTTTAGGTAGTGGATTCCTCCATTTCCCTAGAAATCACTTTTGGGACCAAAAATGTCAGCCACTACAAGCAAAAAATCAGCTAGATAAGAATTGGACTAAAGTCATTGTTCTTACTTTGCTTTTCATAAAAAAGGCTGTGACCAGTATAAAAACTCCAACGACTGTTTTAACTCGTAATGTATCGAGAAAAACTTTTAATGGAAACATATATCTGTATTGTAAAATTTATTGAAGTTCCGAATTCATTCACATATGACTTACCTGGATAATTTTTGTTTTTAGAGTTGTCGAGGTGATCTTCCACAAGAATGCGATAGACTTTCTTTGCATTGCTGGTTAGGGATTTATAAACATTGACGAGAGAAGATAATGCCATGGAAGATCCTGTATGTTTGACGAGGAATGAATTTTCAAAGCTTACTTCATCGATATATGGTAAAAACGTTGTCGCCTCTATCCAGACTGGACTTAAATTTCCTAATTTTGCTACATCCCAAACTGCAAAAAATGAAATCTAAGAATTACAACTTTTATAGAGAGATTAATCCAGCTTAAGCTGATTGATATGTTTGAACGATAGCATTATTAATAAAAATACGCATATTTTTTTATCATCTCATCATATGAGTATAATTTTTGACAAGAAATTGAAAAAAATGCAGATTACATTTGATGGCTTAAGATAGCTAACAGACTTGATAGGTTACAGATGCAATCAATATTTATAACAATGCAAGATTCGGCTTCATCTAATGCGTTCACCGGATAAAAATGCAATGGAATGCCAAGAATCCACCCCCTAAAGAGGATTTATACATGTCAAGAGTAAATTATCCTTGTAAGGACTGAAGTATCATTTTTTCCTGTGCAACAAAGGAAATACTTACTGAGTGGAGCATTCAAATGGTCTATTGAAGCTATTAAATGGATCTTTTCATGGGAAACCAATGAGCAGAGAGCACTTTGGCACTTTTCATCACGTAAACATGATCCATCGATATTGTTGATGATAATGAAGATGTGCGGAGCAGATTTTGGTTTTAATCGCTGTCTAATCATTTCAACTGCCATATTAGTGTTGGGAGCTGCTTCTTTCATGTTCAGCAGTTGTTTCATGATGGAGTCCAGGATCTGAAATGTACGTTTTGCCGTTATTACAAACGAGGTAAGAAAATAATCTAAAACCTCTGACCTCCCTGCGTAACACCTTCAGTGGCTATGGAAAGATAGCACATCGATTCAGAAAACATACTTTTCCGACCTTTGATAAATTTTGATACAGTTTCATGTACAGACAAAATCTGAAGAGCTCCGATGAACTTTTACAGAGTTTGTCAGAATAGAGATCTGAATGGCTGTAGATTCAAGAGACTTTTCTCTTTCAGAGACATTCTAACCTCAATAGCTCGAAGCTGAGGGAAAGAGATGAGAAATTTGAGTAATTGAGGCTCTCAAAGCTTTGAGTTCACGTGGAATAGGAGATGAAAAATTCGAGTTACTGAGTCTGAATTGGGGTAGGTCATTACCTCATTATGTACGCACTCCGCTACTTTTTATAAGTTCATAGATCTTCTTCTTGTTTTCCGGTATTGGTGAAATGGGACTGGGGAGAATATTAAAGTCTCTGGGATTTAAATTTCTTACATATTTCATCTGTCACAGGTAAGAGAGAGAGAGAGAAAAAAGTCTTGTCTTGGTGTGTGTGCAGGGAAAGGGTACTAGTAATATGCTTAGATAAAATTCTCACCTCCTTCAGAGATACAGTTGGAAAGAAGCCATTGACAACCAGAACTTTGCTTTCTGATAACATCATTTTCCTGAAATCTTCCAAAATTTTTCTCTTGGATCCCAGGCCATATAGAATCACACTGAAATTTTGACTGGAAAAAAAAAAAAATAATAATTGCGGATAATACCTACTAACATGAGATTTGGCCCACAATTAGATGTATTTCTATCACACGGAACTATGTGCATTATGACATGAGCCTTGTTATGCATATATTCTTATGAGTCTCAGGGCTCATGTCTTCATGCACATAGTTCTGTTGGGCAGAAATACGTCAAATTGTCATCAAAACTGAAGAGAAATTATAAATTTTTCAATATCCAATACTGAAGGGGACTGTGGCTTCTTGTCGAAGCACCTTGGGAAGAAGTTCAGATAACAGAGATTAAATTTACTTACAGCATTATATTGTCTAACCAATACTTTTCACTTTTTTTATGCCATTTTAAGATTTTCTCGTAAAATACTGCTAACTTGGTTGAGGAGAGTTTAGAGTGGGCAAAGTTCAGATATAACTTTCCCTAGGGTTAAAAACTTCTTAGTTCCACTGAGTTGACAGTGTGACGATTTATTCTTAAGAATTCAGTATGAGGAGACAGGATTAAAGGAGCAGAGTATTGTAATAATTGAATCGCTGAGTTGAAGGGTGACATACAAATTCTTGTAAACATACGGCTTTTTTCATTTGTTTTGCTTTTTTTCTTACTTCCCCAGTATTGATTCTGCCTTTTTTGAAAAAGGACTGAATTGTTAACATTGCCTGGGTTAATTTTACACAACGATACCAGTGTGAGACTGTCTTTGCACAGTCAAAAAGAAGTCTTCAAATTGGAAAACATATCAGAGCGAAATTTTTTTCAGGGTTGCCGTAGAACTTAGAAAACAAAATTCTTGACACTTCCTTGATTTCTCTAGCACATTTTGGTAAGAGTCCCTGACAATTGGGCGTATTTCTGCTAAAAGGAACTATATTACACGCAAACTCTATGCACGTAGTTCCTTTTAGCATAAATACGTCCAATCGAGGTTATGGCAGATGTTTAAAAAGCATGTTTTGAAATAGTTTTCGCGAAAAATTTGTTGTTCGGAACATCAACCCTATTCTAGAGAGCCAATAAAGGTGACTAAGCAAATTTTCCCTGACTTTTTCATCATTTTCTCTTGACATTTCCAGGTTTTTCTAACTTTTGAAAAGTCCTTTAACTGTGGCAAACCTATATTTTAGAAGCATGTTCCTTGGGGTCAAGATGATGGATAATGAGCTCTACACACATCAATGACCATCAGAATCCTTGAGGATGAAGAATTTCGTTCGCCCGCTAATAGTCAACGGTAACATCCATGATCTATGTTGAAATCTTTTACTCAACGTTAAAAACTAATTTAAAACAGCTTATCTAAAGTATAAATACCTGAGGTAAAACATCCAATGATGAAATTGAGATTGCATATCCTGATGCAGAGTTTGAATATCTTTTTTATGTGACTGTGATAGTTGTTTCAGGATGTTTCTGAATTGAGTATGCGTTAAATTTGGGTTTTTTAGTTGATTCAAAAGGTTGTTGGACGTTTTGTCTTTCTTTTTGGAGCTTCTCATGTGGAAATAATCTTTATGGGAACAAACCTGAAATAAATAAGCTGGCCTTGAGAAAAGGTAACAAGTTGAAAATTAAATCTTACTTTAACAATACATCATACGTGATCACTAATGGAGATACCTTTGGCAGACTTATTCAACTCCCGTGTTTGAAGCTGCTAAAAGGGGGCAAAAATTTCCAAAATGTACGTTGCTGATTGTCTGTAACTTTTTCCACGACAGAGATCCAAAAAAACAAAATCTGCTAGAACCCTTCAATTTTTTACATATTTTCTCTGAAATTTTGCAATTACCTTTAAGAGGAAAGTCACCAATTTGGAAGATTTCCTAAAATTGATGATAGACCTCTCGCCCTCATCAGGGATTTACGATATAAGTACTTTTTCTTGGGTAAAATTTTGTGAGAAACATAATGGTGTCACTGATGTTCTCTGAAACAAAGTCTCGCGCCCAAACGAAGCTCTCACAATCGATATCGCAATAAAAGGGATCCCCCACCTCACAGTGAGTGTTCACTTCTATATCCTATTAAAATATTTAAAATTCCTTTGCGCAGATGGGGAAAAAATTCATCAGTAGGGTTGCCACTTTCTTTGGGGGCTCCAAGGCTGGAACTATGACAACCCTGCTAATGTACTTGCTCTCTATCTAGGCACGGGGAGTTTGACTGGACATGCAAATCAATTTTGAGACTTTTTTTTGGGGTTGGAAGTTCTTCCCAGAGAAAATTAGTTGCACAACCATGTTTTTTTGCAAAATTTTACAGAAGAAAAGGTACTTAAAATGTAAATCAACGATGAATGCAAGAGCTCTATTCTGCTCCACAATTGTTATAATCTGTTTTGTAAAAGCAGGCATTCTTTAAGCCTCTATCTCATAACCGTCCTTATCTTTAGTAATCATTACCATCTCAATATATACTGTTAATGATTACTTTTATGATAGAGACTGTACTTTATACCTTCTACATGCAAAAGTCTAACTTGTAGGGTAATGGATATTTCCATTCAATTCTCCCAACTTACATAATCTATCTCTCCTCGCGCACTTTTCCTTGCACGAGTGGAAGGTGCTGGTAGAATTGGTTTTTGAACTTCACTGCTCTCGTCATTAGAGCTTGAGCTGTCGCTGGATTCATCCGTGTCATCATCTGAGTCTGAAAAGCTATATTCTGAGCCTGAGTCCTCTAATTCCATACTTTCTACTTCCTTATGAATCACTGCAAGAGAGAAAACTTTAAGATTAGGGACAAATTATTACACACATTAATATTAAACATTACCGTACACGGAGACATATAACTCTTCTCTTAGACATTTCTTCCCTACTGACCCGTCATCTTTTGGAAGATTTTCAATCTTAAAAAGGATGGTGCATGCTTAATTAAATCATATAATAGTCTAAAGCAGCAGGAAAAGATAGAGTCCCTCCTTGGCACTAAAGCACACGGAAGTCAGCCAGAGCCTTAACTGGTATCATTAGGTCAGAGCTGCAGAAACAGACCCTACTACGGCTTGTTCCTTTGGACCATTTTCATACCATGCCAGCACCACAGCTTCAGTATGCGATGTTTATACCAACTTTTCTGGAAAACAGCTTTAGCCACACACCTGCTGTGCGATCATCAAAATTGATAAAAATGAAGTTGGCTTGAGTAAGAAATTTATCTTCATTTTGCGGTATTTTTATCAGATTGTGACTAAATTCTTTCTGGGTAAATATTAGGAAGTAACTTAAAAGAGAACATTTGCTGTGTTGTTCATATTTTTTCATTGCTTTTCCTAGCACTAAAATGTTTGAAGTATCTGGTAAATAAATACAGATAATATGGGATGATTGTAATGATTTGTAATGTGGACAATACAAATTTGAGGCAACTTACTTTGCTTCATTCTTGTGCGCAACCCATAAGGCGTTTGTGGAGTGTAGGTTTCATGTTCAGAGGAGGTAGCTTTTTTATCTTCTTTTTCATGTACTTTTTCAGGCTCTGCATACAGCCTTTTTCGGCTTGACTTCGGGGTACGGTGCAATGTGGAAGGGGTTTGAGCAGCTTTCTTGCCAGGGGTGGGGGTTTTTTGTTTAGGCGTACACATTTTGGTTGCAGAACGGGTTGCTGACTTTCTAATGGATGAAGTACAGGCTTTCCTATTCTTAGGTGTAGATGGGGTGAAAGAAAAAAGTCGTTCTCCTTCTACATCGCCTTCTTCAAAAAGTTCTGCAAGAGAAAATAAGATTGTGATGAGTTAAATAAAAAAAATGAAGCTGCGCAGAGTTAGATGAACATCGCTTAAATTTCAATTAACCAGTGCACGATGAAAAATATAAAGGAAAAAAATTAATAAGAGCTGGAAAGAAGATGATAATTTCAATGGGAGAATATTTCTTTTTTTAGATGAGTTTTTTGATAAGAGAGTAAGTCAGTATGATTAGAAGTTAGCAATATCATAAACGGAGGTACTTGAGCATTTTCTTACTTAATTCATCAATATTAAATGAGAGGACCTTAGTTTCTTACAAGTAACCTTATTGAATTTGCGCTTAAGATCGAAGGGCTTGACATACAATTAGCACACGCTCAGAGAAGAATAAGAAGCTTGTAAAATCATGAGCATGGTGTTTTGATTTGAAAGTACTGAGTTTTACAAGAGAAAAGACATCACCACACTTTCGTCATAACTGGCGCATTCTACTTAAGTGTAAGTGGCTGACTTTGACTACAGCACGTAAGCTCCAGGGTCATTGTACTTGCCGTTATCCTTTTTGGAGCCATCAGGGAACCTGTTAGAGGCAGAGTTAGAATCAGATTCATACCCTCCACCATTTTCTTGAATAGGTCCAAGCCTGCTGGTTCTTCTCCCACCGTTGGACAAGGCCTTTCTCAGATCGCTCGTCTGTCCCCTCTTTGATGAAGCTGGAAATAATTCGCGCAAAAGAACAAAAATTAATGATGTATGGTCTTTTATCTTTTGAATGCAGAAAGATGTAAAGGACGCCTGGAATTGATAAACAAGATAATAAAAAAGTCGTTATAAGAGCCAAGGCGCACCTTCATGGCTATACTTACATGGAATCACTACTCGCACCAAAAATTAAACAACCCTAATGGAGAGTTTCAAATGTTGAGTCAGAAAATATTTGAATTTTCTGTTACTTGCTTCAAAAAGGGAGAAAATGACTATCACCAGTGCATCACATCAAGAATGATGGAAGAACTGAGACAGCAGTTCGTCATTTCCACAGAACATATTTCAAACAAAAAAATTGCAGGAATTGGTTCGGAAACTAAGATATTAAGTAAGTATGACGGGAAGCATCAAAAGTCATACACTGAAATACATAGCTTCCTAGTTCAGCCATCAATGCAAGGTGTATTACTTAGAGAAGAAAACTTCAAGTAGCCTGAACTTCACTCGGTTTCCGATTCAACAAAAGATTTGTCACAAGGCTAACTTCCCTTTAATTGTATGGCGATTGTTATCTACACTTGTGTGGAAGACTAGACCTTACGCATTGAGCCCGAAGCCATGAATGGGCGCATTTGCTTTGCACCACTGCTGTCTTTTTATTACCATTCAGTGAGTTTCCGCTGTGAAGAAAAGTAGAAGATTCGCTGTTACTTTGTAACTTACCCTCTAATGCGGAGAGAGGCAAAATGAGCTGGACATCATTGGGGACTACAATTTCTACAGTCTTTCTTTGGGTTACGGTTACTGGTCCTTTAATTTTTCCAGTCATGATCGTTTTAAGAGGGAAGAGAGATGGTATAACTCAGATCAAACTAGGACAGGGACTAGCGAAACATCAATGAAAAAAATGTGATTAAACGTAAATATCCATGCTTGCTGGGCACGCTAATTATCCTTAAAAGTGTCTTGAAACTTATTTAAAACAGAGATTGCCAGATAACAAAACAGCACGATTACACCGTTAAAAAATTAGGACACATGCACATGCACAATCAAGTGATCGAAGATAAAGATGATCAGGACCAGAGAGCCAGAGACAAATCAGGACTTGTTTCTGATCAGCACGAATCACGAAACGAAATCATCGAAATGTTTTGTAGGTTAGGACTGGCCAAAAAGTAAACAATCTTGCCGCACCGCAGGTGGCGGGAAACCGAATTGGACGCTTGGCCAATCACAGTGTAGGCCCGTGCCCACCCATTTTGCGCGCACAATTTTAAAGTCCCAAGCTGCGAGTATCACAGCTTTCTGGGCAGCAGTTTTGAGCAATAGTGATTTGATGGCTATATAAATTGTATTTGAATAGTTATTTAATGTTTAAAATTGGAGCTAACTCGATCTTGGAATGTCAAATAGCATTTATGAAAACTGCATCAATTAATGAAGGGACCAGTCCATACGAATTTTAAGAAATTTTCTCAGTAAAAATAAATTTTATCTTGAAACTGTTTGTCTCAAGAGGACATTCGATTTGAAGAAGATTTAAAAAGCACAATGACAAATGAAACACTCTAAAGCAGGTGCTCTAGGTATCTATGACTAGTATAGTAACCACAGTAACTACGAATGCGTTTGAAATGTGCTTAATTTTCTGCTTTTCCTCCTAAATATTTGAAATTGATCGAAACCAATATTTTGTGTTAGATTTTGGGCTAAATTTTAGAAGTCAAAACAACAGTGACAATTCTTTTTTCCCAGAAATGTTTTATCTATTAAGTCTCAACGCTTGAGGATTAAACGAGTAGTACCTGATAAAAGTAGCTAAGTTGATTTTCAGATGGACTTATTTTTTGCTGCAAACTAATGCATATTATCAATTTTTCCAATGGCCAAAAATAAATTCGAATTTTCAGGATCTATTTACTGGGACTTCATTAAGTCCATCAGATTCTAGAGTTTTTAAATGTGAATTCACTGTATTCACGTTTGATACCGTATGATTTTGAAAATATAATACCTATAGATAAAACGAGCCATTGTAGATTATTGGCCGGGCAATAGAGAGTTAATTTGAGACATACTTAAAAATTGAGATAATTTGATTTTCTGGTGAGTGTTGTTACTATTATTAAGTGCTACCACAATTCTTTTTTCCTTTTTAATCTCAAGAAGCTAAAGACAAAATGAGGATTGTGAGCAAGACACAGATTAACAGCTGATAGGCAATGAAAAAGTACGATGGACCATCATTCATTGTTTATTCTCAGTAGAACATTCTATAATTTCTTCAAACAAGAGTTCATAGACACTTAACATAATTTTTTCTCCCTAGAAATAAATACAAATTTATTCTGGCTGCTGAACAAGTTTCTGAACTATTGAAGGAAATGAAACGAGGAAAAGAACTGCCGCAGTAAAAATTATAAAACTAGAGAGAATATGCAATTCAAGGCTTCTTTGTCATAGATTATGTACAGAAATCAGCCAAGGGTGAAGTAAACAAAACATAGTTGTTACACTTTATCTCCAGAAATATTCATTCATTCATTTAACATTAATGTAGGGGACTATAAAATATGAGACCATTTTTGTGAGGATTTGCATTTATTGACCTCTGTCCGCTTCTAGTGAAGAAAAAACTTTGGCATGTGGTCTGAAAGTTACGTTTCGTATGCTTTTCTCATATTTTCTCATATTCGTTCTGAGCTTATAAATGTTGGATCTTTTTTATCAAATGAACATTTATACAATGTTGTTGTAACTTCTCATGCATTTATCATAATTTTTTTTAGAGCTGCAAAAAACAGCTCTTTTCAAACACTAGATCCTATCTGTAATGATGAAAGATACATTTACAAAAAAGCCTCCGGATAACCAGGCTATTAAGCATGCAAAACCCAACTGAAACATTTTCTAAGATATGAAAGAGAAGACAAATAAATTCTGCAGAATGGTGACAAATTTGGGAGCTTTTTTATAAATTGCAGATGGAATGAAAACATGATTCCTTCTAATTAGGGATGTACCACATATATTTTGGGTGATGGGATGATGATAGATGCAATTTTTACATCTTAATAAAATCAAAGTATAAAATTAAACAATCAAGAGAGTTAAGTGAAAACCTGAGTAGCCAATGCTTCCTAAAATATTAAAATAAATTGCGTTTACAGTGCAAAAAGGACAAATAAATTAAGGTATTGCATTAGAAAAAATCAAACAAAAATTGATGCTTTATCTCCAACTTTATTCAAAACTTAAACGCACAATTGCTCATAGTATAAAGAAAAAAAAACTACTATTCTGTCAGATTTTTCATAGATATGCTAAAAATGAGTGCGGAGAGTTCCTTCAGTCCCAAGGGTTAGAAAACTTAGCTGCAATATGCCAAAAAATGTATACCTGATGGTAACTTTTTTTAAGAACAGATATGAATGTAAAGATGAACCCAGAATTTCTTCTAGGAAAAAAAAATCATCAATTCGTGTGAAGATTATAACAGTGTTTCAAAACTTGCACCTTGCATGGTGAGAAAAATCAAAAAGAAAAGATTCTACCGACTTATAACTTACAGTTGTAGATTCGATGGTGAGCGAAAAATCTCCTAGGACAACGTGATAGGGAAGGCCAAAAAGTTTCAAGACTTAACACGGCTTAAAACACAATACAAGAAATTTACAATTAGAAAACTATCCGTACAAGTTTCTTGTACAGCTTCAACTTGGCTGAGAGATCAAATTTTGCGGAGGCTTTTTCACCGTGGATACTGGAAAGTGCCAAAACCTAAACCAACACCACGATGCGTGTGCGTGGCAAGCCTTGCAACTTCGTACTGACTCTCCATAGAGGAGAACATCTCTTCTTGTTTCTTGATCAGTTCCGACTTCTCAGCTGCTGGAGGACCACTGCTACTGGTGGGTTGTTCTGAAAAAAAAAAAGGGAAAAAAAGTGAGACACATTAAAGGTTGATTGAATGCAGTCACACAGGAAAAGCATCACAGATCAAGGAACTTAATGTAACAGCTTACTCCGACTTAAAAATGATTGATTCTACAATTAATAAGCATATTGGCAGTCAGACTGCAAAAGTACAAGACTCGGTTACAGTGTTTCAAAATCTCTGCTCTATTTTATTTTTTACAAGGAGACCGAACCAACATCATGGCTTGAAATATTCACAAAATATTCTTCACATAGAGAGAATAATCAGCGAACACATCAAGAAATTCCTCCAAGTAGTCTTTCCATGTAGAAGACAGGAAGTCTGCAAAGCCGCAAATCAGGATATGCATTTCTGCAGGTTCACTATCGATATTCATTACTGATCATCATTAAGAAGGATTTCTGAAACATGGCTCTTATTCTATAAGTCTGGGATTGGGCAGCCTTGAGATATATATTATTTGAAAAAAAAAAAAAAAAAAAAAAAAAAAAAAAAAAAACCACGGTTTTTTCCAGACTAATTCCATACACTAATACATTACTGCTTGCTGGGTCAAGAAATGACACAAAAAAATGAGCAAAAAGTAAAAAAAGACTATTATTTCTCGGAGCGCAATAGGGGTATCAGCAATTTTTAGATACGCATTAGTTGATGATTGAACAGAAGGTTGAGTGGATGGTAGGAATTTAAAAAAAAATTCTGGTCGTAAATCAGTAATATCCCCCTTTTCAAAAATTCAATTTAACTTCCTGAGGCTTCTTCACCGAATTAATTTCCTCAGCAATGAACTGAGTATATCTTAAATAGCTCTTACCTATTATCAAAAGGTTCTGTATATGAAGACAGGTTTTGATAAAATAACTTTTTTTCAAAAACAGGGCCAAAAAAAAAAAAGGAAGAAGAAGAAAAAAACCAACATAAGGGGTTTGTTTTAGGAGAGAACAAATTATCGTCAAACTTCTGTAGTAAAAGATACATTATTCCGCTAAGATTGATCAAACAAGATCGAATTCCGGTAATAATAAAACTAGAGGTACCATGACGAGATGCCTATTTTTTGGATAATAACCCACTTACCAGAGCTTGGTTGCTTAATGCCCATAAGTCGTTGAAATTTGGCGGTCATTTTGCCATCTTGATCGCCGAACTTGGCCCCTTGCCAGATAGTTCCACCGCTGGCAGCTGTTGCTGTGGAGCTGGGAGCAGGTGCTACTGCCTCGGCTGGTTTGGGTGTTGCAGTTGCATTGTTCAGCTAAAAACAAAGTAAAACGAAACAAAATAATTTCTTCTTCTAGGTAACATTTGTTGCACACATTTAGAATTAATTAGAAAAAATCTGTTAAATTAAAACTCCCTACATCAATGTTTCACTGCATTAAAACCCTCGGATACATGCACCTGCAGTAAGTGGTCTGTGATTTTAGATTATTGTATTGCCGGTTGGTTTGTGATGGAAAAAGCTTTTCGAAGCTTTCAGTTTTTGTTACGAATTAAAAATAGGCCAGACAAACTGAATGGTGGAAAAAACATATTAAGAGTGGGTTTATCAATTTTGATTGCCTCAAAAGCAATCAAAGTTCAACAATTGAGTATCTGTTAATTCTAAAAGGGTTTCAATCACAAAATTGATCAACATAAAGTGGACCCTCCTCTCAGAAATAATTTTTTTCTCCCTGATGATAGAAAATTGAGGTTTCATGACTTACCTGCTTATCTTTGTTGCCCCAGAGGAGACGACGTTTCTGTATCTGCTCAGCATACTTGGTCGGATTTACAGCGGCAGGATTGTAATAACTGGGTAACTCTATTCCGGTGGCAGATTTCACCTTCTCAACTTGTTCTTTGAGAGACTGTTGCAGAAGGGATTGAGGATTCACTTGGTTTGTGACTGAATTTGCAGTGCTACTGCTGTTTGCCATACCTGGTAGCGCCGACGGCACTTTCAATTCGATGCCTAGTTTTTCTAACACTACAAAAAAGACAGAACCGGGTTACAATCAGGGATACCACAGAATTTAGAAAATGAATCTTTTTAAAATTACAGCTCCGTACAGGACCACTGAGCGGCCGGTCGGCGCTCAGTGGGCCTCTAAAATAGCGCTACGGAGCTGTAATTTTAAAAACGTGAATTTTTTGGAAGTATCTGTAATTTCTGGACTCAGCGACCCTCAAGAGTCCCTAATAATGCATTTTGCTCAGTTTGAACATTCAATCTGATTTAATAACAGTCAAATCCGACTTTTTTGCGCGCGAAAATTGGTCGGCGCGCGTTGAGCGGAAACTTCAATCGATCATAACTCCGGAACCGTTCGGTTCCCCAGCTTATACGACCACTTGTTGGATGCGGAAAAAGACGAACAATTTAAAAAACTGGTTTTGGTTCAAATCAAAAAATGTGAAATTTCAGTTTAATCTGTTTAAAAGAAATTGTTTTTCCTCAAAAACTGAAAAAAGCACATAAGTTAAGTTAAAAATTTAATTTTGGGATTTTGACCTTTAGAATCTTAAAATATGCAATTTTAGACGATTTTTCGTCCAAACCGGGCCTCAATATCTTGTTTCGTTCGAAAGATATGGAGGGTCACAGGTTTTGACTTCCGCCCCCCCTAGCGCCCCCCCAAAATTTTTTGGGGGTCTGAAAATTTGGGGAAAGAAGCGCTTCAGTATTAGTAACTGATAGACGAAGTTTGAATAAGTTTTAGTGGGGGGGCGAAAAATGTCGTTTTTGCATACGGCTCTTTGGCAATAGCTAATGCAGCTTGGTTCTTTTCTGCTAAATGCGGTTCATATTTAAACCAAAATTTCCGTTGCATTACAGAGTTTGATTTGTTTTGAATTATTATCATATGAATTTTGAAATGGTTAGGTTCTTAGTTTTATGAGAAACATTCAATTAGTTGGCAAAAAGAAAACTAGGCAATTATCTTATTATAACGTAACAAATTCACTGCTGTGTAAGAAAGAACGCCATATAAGCCTTCCGACTCTGCCAAATTTCCTTCAAGTAACCAAGAATTTGCTGGAAAACTTACAGCCCTTTTTTTTATTTTCCATAGAATATTCTCTGTAATATATTCTACCGTACCTAAAGAATTGAAAGGAAAATATTCAAACCTTGTCTCAAAAATTAATATTAAAGTTTGGGAAATTTGGCGACATTCGAAAGTTCATACAGCATTCTTCCTTAGCACAGCAGATTAACTCTTAAAATGAACAGAGAACTGGGGCTTTTAGACTGACCTTGAAGCTTATTTTTAGTCTTTTCTGAAGCATAGCTATGACTTGACTTGGTGTGAGATCTGTCTCTACTCCTGCGGATATCCCTGAAACATAAAAGAAATAATTAATAATGTATTTTGACACCCTAAAGAAAGAAAAGGAAAAGTCTGCCTGCCCTAGCTAGCACCTAAAAGCATCTGAGACTTGTTTGCTCTCCTGCAGGTCTAATTTTAAACAGAGCTGACGTTCAGTGATGACCAAGAGATCAATTTACGCGATCAAAACAAAAATTCCAGAATAAACATGGTTCGTGCAGCCTCAAGTATAAAAACTCAAGCACTTCATAAAGAATTTTCAAAACCTGTTTCGTAATTTTTTCTCAAATGCAAATTTCTCACCAAGATAGAGTTCCAGTTGTATTCAGTTCTCTTTGACGGCAAATCATAATTTTTTTCGTAATAACTTCCTGAATGATCTATGTAAGTGATGTCAAATGCTTCGTTATTTCTTAACCACAAGTATTTGTCACTAACTCAAAGCTTAGTATCATGTGCTTCTGAGTAAAGAATACAATTAGAGCAAAAAATCAAGCCATTTGAAGCCTTGAAATACAATTTCAAAATCAAGGACTTTTCAGGGGCACATGAACTATGATATGAGTAGCTTCTTGGTATGACTGGAACTATGAGAACTTAAAGAAAAGCCTGATCAGTGCTTAAACCTAGCAGGTGATGTCCTCGGTAGTAGGTCACAGATAAAACACTGCTTATCAGACAACAAACTTCTTAGTTGACTATCGGGATGGATTTACATGTATGACTACTTTTGGAGAGAAACTAACCTAGAATCTCTCCTGTGATGTGAACTGCGATGGCGAGGGGATCCTGATGAAGAGCGAGATCTGGACCTTCTCCTTGAGTGAGACCTTGATTTTGACCTTCTCGATCTTGACCTGGACCTTGAACGTTTTGACCTATATTGTTTTGATCTATACCTGAAAAATCAAATTGGAAGTTAATAAGCTTGCTGGAACAAATTGGAAGATTCCTTAAATCTTTCTCAGGATGCAATACAATTTTCGTTAGATTTTCAAGTCATTGCCGATCTCTTCCTGAATGGATTTAAATGTGCATACAGTGACAGTAGTGGTAGTGCAGACAAGCTGACCGGCTAAGCATCTTTATGGGGCCTAAGCAACAGCATACCTGCCATCACACACCCGAAACTTGGACTACGCTCCTCAACTCATCTACTTGGCCAGGTCTCTCTTCCACCTTGTCATCTCAAAAGGACTGATAAAGTATTAGAATATAATGGTCATCCTTATCGAAGATAACAGGATTCTTGAGTGTCTTTAAAAAGCTCGTCACCACTGGGGCTTGAACCCAAAACCTTACTTAGTGTTTCCATCAAAATGACTTAATTACTACACCACTGAGGGTGTTTTAATTCACATGTATATATTCATTATACTTCACACCTTTACATTTTCCGGTAAAAGTTACCAGAGATACATTCAATTTTACCAAAATTCACTGATGCTTGCTTTGGCCCTCCGTGTGATCTTGTGATACAGGCATGAAACTTCCTACCCTTAAATAAATGATAAATTTTAAGATGCCCTCAAAATTGAGAATGATCACAAAACAACATAAATTTCAAGCTATCATGATTCACAACAAAGTCATCAAAAATTGCTGCCCTTCCCTCCTTAAAAAACCTGTAGCTATAATACTCAAAATTAGCTTTAACCTGGCTAGTGGCATGAGAGACATTAATGATACAAAAGTGGTCTTCCGTGGTATTTCCAACAAGCGTAGAAGCTTGAACAGAAAGGTTCAATCTAAATACCACACAGACTTGTGGTATTCGCAGTTCAAGCTTAATCATGCTGATGGGAAAAGGGGATATAATACAATTTCCTAAGCAACGGAAAAACATTAAAAAGTAGAGGCTGATTATCCATACCTGTCTTTGTCCGAGGGACTCCGTGAGGAGCGCTTTCTTGAGCTTCTATCATGATAATCGCGATCCCTTTTTCGATCTTTCTTCTCTAAGTCCTCATCCCTGGAACACAAAAATAATTCAGTCAAAAGCTAAATTTTAGTGTTTCAAGTTTAAAACCTGCGGGAGACATGTAGGTGCATACTAGGGAGGACAAAAATAAGACATCTCTTGCAGATTCAATACAAAAGCATGGATTCGAAAATAAGAGGGATATTTGCTTAAGATAATCTCAAATTATTGAGTTTGCAAAAACCTCTTTGAGACTTGAATTCGCATCCAAACACTACTGTATTTCACTGGCGAGTGGAATCCTAAGAATGTTTCGTAAACAGAGTGTGCAACAATTTCAATCTGAATTGCTCTGCAACTCCAAGACTTGAGCTGATTAACTGGCATCTATTTGGCGAGGTTCTTTCATGGGGTAATCCTTCATAGAGGAAAGCCAGGTCCTAACTGGGTCAACAAATTTGAGATTTCTAAGATCATGAAACCCATAGCAAGCTGAATTGTTTTCCTACATTTGCTCTGCAAATTAGTCCAATTTCCAATACAGATAAAAATAAAACCATAAACCATGGTGTCTCCAATTCTTTACTAGACTCATTCCCTGATGAAAGACCATAGTTTTCTTCTGCTTCTCTGAGATTTACTTGGGGAAACTGTATGACTCTCCAGTGTTCAAGATTTGAACATTGAATTTGATTAATCTTTCCCTGGATTTTTTGACACACATTCAAGTTTTTAACTCCAAAAGCGTTCCTGATGTTTATGTTATTGGGTCTATGAAAACACCTCCATTATGATGATTTGAAGATTCAAAAATGTCATCCAAGAGGTCAATGGTGGCGACTCAGGTGCTATGACATAAACCTTAATAACATTAGGTACTTAATACTTCCGAAAAATTGGAAGACAAAACGGTCTCTCAGCGGTAGAAGAAGAGATTTCTGTTGTATGGAACATATTCCTTGATTTTTCTCAGAAGTTTTCATTCTCTTATGAATCCTGGTTTGTCCCAGTCCTAGACACTTTGAACTCACCTGTCCTTTCGAATACGCTTGCTATCGTCAGACTTCCGGTCACGAGACCGAGACCTCCGCCTGTCCCTAGGGCTTCGGTCCCTGGATCGCTTGCTTCTCCCGTTTCTGTCTGCTGATTTTCTATCTTTAGAGCTTTTGTCATCATACTTGGACCGACTCTCACTCTTCCCACGTTTCTCAACAGAGGTACGACGATCAGGCGACACTGATCGTTCTTTTGTTTTGGAGCGGCTTTTGTCTTTCTCCCGGCGGATCGGACTGCCTGATGATTCTGATGACCGCGATTCTGAGGACGAATCTGAGGAGGACGAACTTCGACGGCCACCATATCTCTTTCGCACCGGTTTTTCTGTCGTTGCAGTAGGTTCGCTCCCTGATGATGAATCCTAATAACAGAAAGAAAAGAGGAATAACTTAGACTCAGATTCTACACATTATTTTTACATGCAGCACTGCTAAATAACATTACCAAAAGTGCGATTCTGCCTCGAAATCTGTCATTATGAAAGTTTCTGAGAGAGTTTATAAAAAGGGTTTTAGCTTCTAATAAATGGTAAATGAATTGAGTAAATCACTTCAGAGGAGCCCACTAATTTTAGGCGCTGAAAAAGAGTCTTTTTCTTCATGAAGGAAATGGAATAAAAGAAGGAAAATACAATAACCCATAAAAAAAAGCTGCTGTAGAATTAAAATAGGATGTAACCATATCTGGGAAAAGGGAAAATATCTTTAGGAAGGGAATTTTCCTCAACTTTTGGCAAACACTTAAACTGCGTCTTCCTACAACCTCAGAATTTTAGTCTTGGAACTTCGGGACTTATATGTCCTTCAATTAAATAGAATTTTTGCTCAATATTGCGTTTAAGTGTCCAGATTTTCTTCCTCGTGCAATTGCAAAAAGTTGAGGAACATTTTCTCCTGGAAGATAAGGCTCCTTTCCACAGACTCCCTCACAAATTAATAACAATTGAAACTGACAAAAGTAGAATGAGCTGGACCAACCACTCGTCAAAAGAAAAAGAAAATTAAAATTTCATAATGACAACTTTCAAAAGCTCTATTGAGGCTCATTAGAGTGCGACACAAATTAATTACCTAAGGATTTCAGAAGGGGGAAAAATATTCAGTGATAGTTGGGGAAAAAGTGGGATGTCAATACACAAATGTAAGCTTTCAAATGTGAAAACTGATCATTTAAAAGAGTTGCAATTCAAAATTTGCTATTTGCAAGCACGGACATTATCAATCCCAAACAAATTAATGATTTTTATCAAAATTGTTCATGTTGATTCGAAAATGAGAGAAAAACAAACTGAGAGAAATGAAAATAAATACTCAGATGTGCAGGATCAGAGACAAAGGTTACAAAGTCAACAAATGATTCAGGTGTCATCGCAAAATCTGATATATGGAGGCAACTCACTCTTGAGGATTTCTTCTATACCTATTCGTAAATTCTTTCACTAGATAGTAGACACAATTTGTACGCCAGTAAGTGACATTGAGATTTAAAACCTGAACTCCTGACCAATTTCGCAAAGAAATGACTATGAAAGGCTATGAAAGACTATAGACCATACACCTCCATTGTGCATTGTAAAGACACTTTTAGAGCCAAGTTGGACTCTCATGCCATGTCACAAGGATATCTAAGTATTGGTGACTGATGGACTGGCCAATTAGGAAAAATATGATTAGTACTTAAAAGTTGGAAAGTTTATTATTAGCAGCTATAAGAGTGTTGAAAATTTCGAGTGTGCAGCTAATCCAGAAGAATTCAGTATACTTCAAATTTTTCTTACATTTAGAACCTTGAAAATCGCAATGTTCCATTGACTGAGGGTGGATTTTTTTTTTTTTTTTTTTTTTTTTTTTTTTTTTTTTTTTAATCTCTCCTTTTCGGGAATCATTTAATTTTAGTCAAAAATTTTCATTTTCTGAGTTGATGTACTTCATATGTTAAGGAGGACTAATTTTAATTCTAAGTTGTTGAAGTACTCAAGTAGTTTTCTTTTCCTTTTTTTTCTTTCTCATGTGTATACTCTTTTTATCTAATAGATGCTTTTCAGCAACTTCTCTACGAAGTTTTAAAAGGAGTATTTCAAAAAATATAAATTATGATGATCTAGCTTGTAAAATGATTGTGAGTTCTTTCTTTTACAATAAATTATAATGACCCTGTTTTGACCCGAATCAATAACTTCATGGAGAGAGGGAATGGGGATTGACACAAAAATTAATTAAATTAGCCTTTAAAACGGATGAAATGTTGTTGGAAAAACTAGTTTGTAAAAATGCTTAGTCAGTAGAATAATTTAAAAATACCTCTCATACCAACTATCTGTGTCAACACTTTACACTGTGACACAGCAAGTGAGAGACTTGGAATTTTACCTCTAAATATAGCCATCTTAAGGCACTGTATACACAATAGTCCGTCTTTTTTTAGCACTCATCTGAGGACACACCATTCTAATCCGTTTTGCAACATTTCTTCTTTAGCACTGTTTACACGCATCAATCAATATGATTAAATCAAATTTTCGAAAGTTTTCAAATCTTTAACTTGCTTTCTAAATTTTGGTCATGCAATTTCTGAGGCAAGTTTGCCTTCAGAATGTGAGTGGTTAAAGATTCTCTTTAATGGTGAAAGAATTATGATAACATGAATTATGATATTCTCATGTACAAGAAAAATATTAATGCAAGAAACAATTAGCACTAAGACAAACAATCTGCAGTAAGATATGTGCTTCAGCATAACTTGAGCATCAGTTCATTCAATATTTTTGGTGTGTATAATTGGTAGGTCTGACAATGAGATCCATCTAAGACCATGAACACGGATGCTTGTCTTCATTATGCTATGTAAATAGGGCTATAGGAGTTTACTGCATGGGTTAAATTTGAATAAGGAACAAAGGGAGAAGATAATTTAAAGGGAGCGGCAGAGAATCCTGGAGAAATATGAAGTAAGATTAAGACAATGGCTGATATTTACCTTGAGCTACAGGCATACAAACCCACTTTGAAAAAGTTCGGTTACGGAGAAAAGGATGAGGCAACAGACTCACCGTCGCTCAAAGTGGGCTCGGAGGTGGAAGCCGAAGCCGTCGAGAAGTCCCATCAGATTCTATCACTTCAGTTGGTACACTAGCCATATGTTTTATTCCAAAATAATTTGTGTTATTATAAGGGTAAATAATAAAACACTTTCATAATAAACTAAGGTTCCCACACTCAGAGCCCTGTTTTATTCGAGAGTCGAATAAAAAATATAAATGTATTTGACTTTCAAAACTAAACCGCAATGACTACCATTTGAAATGCAGAAGGGTAGCCATACTTTCTCAAGTTATTCACACCACTAAGGACTTTTAGCAAGAAGATTGTTGCATAATTGTTCTTACATAAAATTTTGCGAGGAAACCAAAAAGTTCTTTGAATCATTTCTAAGGATGGAAAAAGCTAATTAAAATCCGATCAATCAAAGGCTATCAGTCAAGTTGGCGTAACAAGGCGATGCCGAAGATAAAAATAAAATAGTGAGTTAGTTCAATCAGCAAATGCCACTATCCCAGCCTGGCTCCGTAATCAGAACCCGCTAAAAATATCCTTTCAAACAGGCCTCATTTTCGGCATTTTTCAATTTGGGGTTTCTCAGCCACTTACTTCGGAATCAATTAACTTTAAACATTCCTAGAAGCTTAGTTCATTCCATACTTTCAGAAAATGAATTAAAATGAATTGAGCGTCACTGACCCACTTCTAGGTGACATTTAAGCAAGTTCACTGAGTCAAGAGAGGTGAATTAAACACAGTAGAGAACATGAAATCCCTTAAGAGAGAGTATGACTACCTTTCGTTGTGTCTAGTAATCAAAAATGGTTGCATAATTAGCAAATATTGCCTAATTTTAACTGCCAGGATGTTTTTACTTTAAAGTTTGTTCCTAGTCAGAACTAACAGACTTAAAATACACTATCCAGAAAGTAATAGCATTTTAGTAAATATTTTGAAAAATAGTTTTACAGGGAAAATGAAACCAGTGGAAAAACATTATCACAGGCTATTCTTCAATGCGGAAAAAATAGTAAAGACCATTTAGAAATCCATTACGTTGAACATGAGAAACAAGAGAGTAGAGAAAGAAAGGAAAAAAATGGAAAACCCTCAAAGTAGCTATAAAGCATTGCAAAAGTGTTAAAAATAAGGATAACAACTTTAGTGGGTACATAATGCAAGTGACACTCCTCTCAGTGGCGCTAGATCCTTAAATGTATAAAACCTATCGAGTACTACTTAGCTCTTACGTACTTCTTGTTAATTATTTTTTCCACCGCACTTTACGACAGGACTTTGTTAATAGCTGCAGATTGACAAGAAAAAATTATAATTAGGGTTTGATTGATAATCAAACCCTTGCCCAACACTTGTCTCTCAACCTATTAAAAAAAAAAAACCCATGAAGTTGTAGACAAACTTCAAAATTCATCGAGACTAGCAACAATGATTGTTTCATTTTGTTGAGAATTGCTAATCAAATGAAATAAATGAAAATGTCTCTCTCATAAATTCTGTGAATCAAATATTTGTAAAAGAGACTTTTAGTTCAATACATTTTAAATTCTATACCTAACTGATAGTTTTGAGTGATCAGGGGTGCAAAAATTGTTTTCTTGATCCTTCTTCTTAGCTCACTAGACATCCTGGGATTTACTTTCCTATCTTCCTCCCAATTTTAGGAAATTTTGCTATACGGTATAAAAAACGCTCTGATTAAAAATCGACCCTTACTTCAGGGCGCTCAAACTTTGCACACTTATAAATATTATCTGCTGATAGAATATCGAGTAATATTTTAGCGTTCCCTTTAAGTGCAAAACAGTACTAAGTACAAGCCGACTGAAAGTTAACAAATATTTTACTATGCTTTCAGTGCAAGGAGACAGAGGTTTTTTTTCTGTAAAAAAAGCCTTTCAAGTAGATTCGGAAAGTTTCCAACTTCTTCTAAGGGCTCAAGAAGTTTCTTAATGTTTAACTACAGCTTTGAAGTCAATTTCAGTGTGATGAAGGACACTTCCCTTTGGGAAATAAGTTGGAGGACTAGGATTTGGAAATTCTCACAAGTAAATTGAGAAATTCTCCACAAAATTTCAGAGTCTGCATGCAAAATTGCCCAGTGTCATTGCAGTTGCAACATTTTCTGACATAATTGTGCGTAGGGAGATAGTGCCTATCTTAGTTGCTCTTGCTTGTCCTAACATGCCCTGCATTCCCACATATTTTGCATCCCCGCAAATAAGCTTTGAATTTGTTATGTAAGAATTTTATCTATTTTGTTTTTGTTTTGAACACTGAATGAGAAAGAGAGGAAGAGGATAAGTTTTCGAATCTTGATGGAACTTACCTCCAAGACCGAGAATCCCGCTCAAGTCAAAAATACAACTTCAAGTTCATTTTAACTACGGCTTTAGTCATGAAAGCTGACGAAGGGGATGAGTCTATGGTACAGTGAAAAAAAAGTAGGTGAATAAAATGAATGAATACAGAATAAATGTAGTTGCATAAACACACAGCAAAAAATTGGGCATATTCAGAAATCAGAATCAAGAAAAAAACGTGACAAAGTGATCGCAGACGTTTTGAATTGAAATTTCCAGATCAATTTTAGGGACATTTCCTAACTTTTGAGAAAATACAAGAGGTTAAGGGTAATTCTAAGATTTACCCATCTTGTTAGGGGATAAGCCAAAACTAGTGGACGAGAAATGTCCCCTAGTAATTAACTACTACTGATTATCTCCTGGTAATTTTCTGCTTCTGACATAATTATCCCCTCACTCCTGGATCATTTTGTCTCATTTCCCCTACTAATCTGACCTAATTCTTGTCTCTTGTCTTTCCTTGGTTTTCCACAACTGAGGCCATCCTCCAAGAGAAGATAATTTTACACTTAAGTATGTAGAATAGAATAATAAACTATTGCCCTTTGATGGTTATTAACATTGAAATTCTGGCATTACAACATTGAAAATCGAAACAAAGAATTAAATACTTACAAAATGGATTTTCCTTTAACAGTACAACCTGATTTGTAAGAAGTGCGCTATCCATATTTACATGACTTTTGGAAATCCAAAATCCATAGTTGTAAGTCAAATAAACAACTAAACATGCCATGCACTCGAAAAATTATGGAAAACAAAACTAAAAACCTGGGCTTTCCTTTATTTCATTCAATCATTACCAATCAAGATTAGATCAATTATTTTGATCAAAAGAACAATAACTTTCTGGTATAGACAGGTTTAAATTGTCAACAGACTAACACATTTACTCGAAGGACAAAAATTTACTTGAAACACATTATGTGGGGCGTATTTTCCTTATCAATTAGAAAAATTTTACCGGATCCTATTTGAACATACTTTGCACAAGATCCGAAAAACTTTGAGGGATTACTAAATAATACTGCTAGTGCATAAAAGTATCAGCATTTGAAAACAGAATTGTGGAGATCCATTTCTTGGATATATTCATTTTAAAACAAGTTTTAATTCAAAAACACTAGCTCAACTTATTCTTTCAAAAAATTTCACTATCTTTTATGAGTGAAAAATCAGGAGCCCACAACATGATACCTACTGAAAAAATTGACAGGGTGCCTCAATAGCCCAGCCCCCCTCCCCTCCCGGTTATTAGGCGCAAAAGCCCTGTTTCTAGGCACATGGTGCCTGCCGAATGCAGGGCACTGATCTAGAGCAAAGCAAAAGAGAAAAAAAGAAAGCTAATAGATTTCTTGTTAGAGGATAGAATCACATCAGCACAAAAAATATTAACAAAACAAAAATTACCAGCAAGTAAGAAAACTTTTCAACATAATGGATTATGAATAATGGTGTGCACACCTGATAGTAAAATCATGGCAAGCTAGGGAAAACCGGGGATACTGTTTTCACACTGGTTTCTGATAATCATGAAAACTTCTGATGTTATGTTACCTACTCAAGTGTGTTTACATTCTTGTTTTTTATTGGGAATCGAATGGGCAAAAACTATCAGTAGGTGAACATCCTATATGAAGCTTGTGAGTGAGATATCAAATTTTACAGTGAACACAACTAGTTACCCATAAGCACATACCTCACTCATATCCATAGTTATTGATTCATAGTTTGCATCCATCTCCTTAGATTCTGATTTTGAATTGGAGGATCTTGGGCTGTCCTGCAGAAAAAAAAGAGAATTGCAGAAAAACCTACTATTAGAATTTGCTAATAAGAAAGCGAAAAAAGTGACTTCGGGCGATCTTCGGTCGCAGTCTAAAAGTGTGTAAACTCACTTGGCATGGATTAGAAGAGAATACTTTGGAGACTTACACTATCATGAGGGCTTTTTTTAAATCCGTGGAACGCATGGAACGCGATGGTAGCGGTTCGGGCTGGTTCAACCAGCCTGAACCGACCTCAATACCTACCTTAGGAGAGTGGTCCAAGCGTTCCACTGAAACACATGGAACAGGATAAAAAAGCGATGCCTTCCGTTGCGGTCCACTGAGGTTCGGATAAAAAAAGCCCTATAGAGGAATTAAAAGTCTGATAAGAACTTCCTTTCAGCAACTGTGTGAAATTTTTCAATTGTGCGCAAAAAATAGTGGTCCTACCCTTGATGGAAGTTATTCATGGGCAACAAAGTTGCAATTGATGCATCTAAAGTTGATTTACTTTCTGCATTGTGTTGCGTATCGAATCAGACCTCTGGAGAATAATGTGAAAACAACTCCTCAAGAGGAAAAATTCTGCAAGATCTCCATTCATTGAGTAAAACAAGAGAGGATAGAAGCTCTTCACTATAAAGATACTATCTTGATACAGGGAGGAGCTTGCAAAGGGCTGGAAGTTTAATCATTTGAGGAGTCGATGATGAAAATGATTCCTAATATGGCTGAAGGGTGGATGCGGAAAGAAGGCATTCTGAAAACCAGTCTTAAAGTCTCAAACTAAATTCATCAACACATTAAACTCCTTCAGATCTGCAGGGCGAAATCAAGAATATGATACTTAATGATGATATAAGTACAGGTGAGGAATGAATGGATGTAAAGCAGTTTTTGTCACTCTCGAGTATGAAAATAATTAGTAGAACCCTGATGGATTACCTTGCAATTGCTGTCATTTTCGTCATCACTGGTGTAATTATTACACAGGGATTCCATGGCAAATGATTAATACTATTGTTATTCTAAGGAACTTCACATGAGCCACCAATAAGTTTCACAGAAAATATTAAAACAGTGAGAAATACTAGTTTTGAGGTAAAAATAATGGCTGATGACACAAATTTTTATCAAGATGAGAAGACGGGGACTTCAACTTCAAGGCCATTCATTCTCTGGCGTCACCAGAGAGTCAGCCAATGAGGCCATTGGTCTTATGTATGACGTCATGATAGACCCCTTGACGCGGGCTTTTTAAACTGACGGGCTTTTTCAATGCCCTGTACTGTAACTCGCTCAAATTCACTTCTTTTTGTAATTTTTTTTTCTTATTTTCGCTTCTCACTCATTTCTTAGATGTCAATTAAAGCGAAAAGCACTTGTTGCTACTTCCTTCGTAGTGTGCCTAAGTGGCATAGATTGCAATAAATTGCAATGACATTCTTATCTTGAGGCCACTGCATCATCGGAGTGTTGCGTGTGCTGCCTATCTACTGATTGAAGGAACACCTATTTTTGAAACCAACGCAATTCAAGTAAGCTCTATTTTTCTTTACGTCGCAAAATGCCTACCCTATTACAAGGGGCTCAATGCTGTCTTCATTATGCTTACTAATCAGGATGGGAAGCACGGCAGATTATTTGAAATGAATGTAGCTTAAAATTCGGCCAGTGCACCTTCCATAAACCGTCACGTGTATGACCCAACACGCGTCCAATAACGATGAATAACGCCCTCTTATTTGATCGGAAAATGCAAACACCGTTATTTCTCGTTTTTGTGATTAATTTCTCCTTCTTGGTGCTTAGGCAGGGCCGGATTTACCTGCTTATTGCCGCCCATGGGCCGCCTGTATTTTGCCGCCTCCTCATTCGTTTTAAAACATCAATAAAAACCATCACTACGTGCCGGAGGGGAGAGGTGCATAAGACGCGTTTACCTACACGTGTTGGATACATTTTTTTGCGAAAGCCCTGTCAACACTGCTAGCAAAATTTCACGGAACTTAGCGTGAAAGTTAAATTCCGTAAATCTATCTCTGTATGGACAAGGTCCTCCATATATAAGAAATAAACCAAAACATTATGAAAGAACAAATATAAATGTGCGGTTTAATAATGTTAACTTCCGCCGCCGCTGCGCCGCGCTGATCGCACTGTGTTTGGCGCAATGTGTGAAGTATTCCTGCAGTCTTGTAGGCGGTATGCGTTTCACGCCAACCGCTCCTGACCGCACTGTGTTTGGCGCAATGGGTGAAGTAGTGAAGTACTCACGCAGTCTTGTAGGCGCTAATATGTTACATGACTACCGTCGGCCGCGCCGCGCCGAGGGCTTGTCCTTTTCATCTCAAGACCTCGTCATCATTCCTCTCTGCGCTGAGCTCCAGGCAAAATTGCGTGTTTAGTTCCTCTCTTAACTAGACTAACTAAAGATGCTGCCTTTTGCATCACCGACAAATGACAAAAATAGAAATTACTATTCTCTCAGGAAATAGAGATTTTGTCCACTTTTCTAATTGATAATTTCTTTTTATTATACAGTCATCTCTTTATTATACAGGGTGATCCAAGGTTAAACGGTCAGACTGCAGGAGCCGAAATACCCCCGAGCCCCCTCTTTAAGTTGAGATTTCGATTTTTCTTATATCATCCATGAATTCAGGGCATAAATCTACAGGAATTACACATTTTCATGAGATTTGGTCCACAACCATCGCCGAAATTCAGGAAAAATTATTTACTTTCTGAATTTTTCTTTTCTTTGGGGGGGGGGGCTGTAGCTCCGACTAGGAGCACTTTTGGAAAAAACTTAATACAACAAAACAGTCCTATTTTGACCCATACTGCCGTGCTAAGGAAAAACGCCGTACCTACAAGCCTTCAGGCGTTGTCAAATTTCCTCTGGCAAATCACTAATTTTCAGCAAAATGTTTGAATATTTTTCTGCCAATTTCTCACATAATTTTGTTCGTAATTTGATCTAAAGTGTCAAAAAATGTCAAGGAAAAATATTCATAATTTTCCTCAAAAGTAAACATTTTACTGAAAGAAATTTGGCAACTCTCGAATGTTCATCCGGCGTTTTTCCTTAGCACGGCAGCATGGAACACGCTGCAGTCTGGCCGTTTGACCCTGGATCACCCTGTATATAGAGTCCAGATGGTGATTTTTCTCCAAGCTCTGCCAAAACTTCGACTCCTACCGCAAGTGGTTCCATATCTGCGGCCTTTGATTAATCCTTTGAATATGACCCAGAGCCTAGACTTTTTGTGGGTGAATTTGAATAAAAAATTAATTTTGCAAGATGTTTTTCTCAAGATCCTTTTATTAGATAAAATTCTTAACAGTTACTGCGTACAAATATAGATAACAGTCTATGAAATTACAGTTAAAAAATATCAAATCAACCATGTAAGTACAACAAGTATATTTATAATCCAAGAAATTAGGTAAAGTTGATGGTTCGTTTTCACATGTACGTGCGCGTCTGTAAATGTGATCAGAATTCAGAGGTTGTGAAGTAAGCGCACTATGAAGTATTCAAAAGGATAGAGAGGTACAGTTCAACTATTACTTTTACAATGCAAAATTGGTTGGTGCGATGATGACCAAAAAGCTTTTCGGAAACACCCGAATTCTGGCATCAAGATGTGAGTTTCACACGAATAGAAACGACATAACAATCGGAACAGGATGACATTACAGAGAAAAACAAATTCATAATTGCGACACCACAACGTATTTGAGATTTTTGTTGAACATTTTAAACAAGACCAGGTTCATTGGATCGAACAGGCTTAAGACAATGACATACAATGTTGTTGACTTTGCTGAGAAAAAAATTCCCCCTTTAGTTCAAATTTTTTTTAGAAAATTTCAAGGATTTTTATGAAATGAAAATCCCCAGGTTCTTCATTTTTACTCTCAGAATTGTGCACATAAAAAAGTGTAAAAATAATGATTTTCTTTAAGTGGTTTTTCGTTTTTGTGTTTTTTTAATAAAATGTTTAAAATCGAGACCCGCTTACCTGCCGCGTTGCGGTTTCAAAATGTCCACTATCATTTTATTCTTTCAAGGCAAAACAAGTTAACTTCATAGCTTAAATCGTGACCATTCATTTTCCAATAAAGATGAATTAAAATGGAAATCTGCAACGTCGCTAACCCAGAAAAGTGTTCTATCAATTTAATCATCGACATAAGTCAGTGGCGGTTTTAGAGAGACGCGGCCGCTGTGACGGCGAGGATAGTAAGTGCGCCTTCAATTTTTCGCACCTGCAACATAAGCTGTCGCAAAGCTGGAATAGTTGCATCCAGGCGTTGCAACCAACGCCACCTCTTCGTATCTGTCAAACAAGATATCATAACGGACGAATCGATGGTCTCAAGTCCTGGATTTGTATTTTGTGCATTAAGAAAGCAGTATCTAATTTATTTTGATTGTTTTTGTTTGATCTTGATGGGCATCATCTCGGCGGCAAAAGCTGCAAAACGGCACGATCGAGGATGGTTCCAGGTGCCTTGACGCAACTATTCGTGTTCTTAGGACGTCCATATTGCATACACGAGTAATTGAAGGCGTTTTTAATTTCCATTCGCTCATATTACGCATGAAGATCGTTTCCAATTCGATGCGAGTCCACTGTTAATTTAATTTATTATTCTCTCATGCTAAGCTTGTTTTGTGTATTTTTTCATGACAACTCTGAACATTTTTATAAGTAAAATGAAGAACCACAGAAAGTTTCAACACGCATATAGAAAAGTCCGTTTTTGAGAAAAATCATTTCCCGACGTTGAAAATTTCACAGCTGACCATCAATATGTTTCCTACTTGTCGATTCGGTGTACAGAAAATACTAGAAATAATCTCCATCAAGTTGCCTTTGATGAAATCTCTTGACTTACAGAGGGCCACTTGATTCAGTAACAGAAAGAGGTAGATTGTGGTTATCCTTGAATGAGGCATATTTGAAGAGCGACAAAAAAGCAAAAAAGTCTCCCTATGTCGGAAATGAATTCTCAAAAGTCACGAATGAATCCCCAACCTATTTTCCTCTTACTTCAGATTAAGTAGGTATGCTAATTTCAGGCTGTCTTTAGTAGACACCACTAATTTGTGTTGTCTATTACAATCTTATTACTTTTCATCCCGCAAAAGTCACGGCAAACTCTGAAACTGCTGACTAATACATTTACCGTGGTCTACTAATATAAATGGTTCTTTCATTTTGATGAGTAAAAACGCATCGTTTCCTTAACATCACTGTATAATTTTATCTAGCGGTTCCTATGTTAAAGTCAGCAAATTGTTCCTAGAGTTTTGCCGTGAATTATTCAGTTTGACGAGAAAATATTATTAGAAAAAGGTCCACTTGCTTCGCGGATGTCTTGCGATATAAAAATCTGATTCTTTGTGAGTGCTTATGTTGATAGAACACCAAAATTAAGACCATTTGTACCGATATAACAATAACAATGATGATAACACATTTATTAGTGTGAAATATGTAGAAATTGTCCACTAATATCTTGAGAAGTACTCAGAGAAGATAAATCACACTTAGATTTAGGATAAACACGAGTAGACAACATTTTAATTACATAAGAGGGAACAACGAGGAAAACGTTTTCGCAAAGGGCATTATAAGGCAAACTTAATCACATCTTTTCAGAATTCGCTTTCACCGTAAAGTATCTGCGTCATTTCAGTGGAGACATTTTTGAAAAACAATTTGACTAAAAAAACATATGTTGTGCTCAGGTCTATTAGGAAATGGGCAACAGAGAAAGTCAGTATTTCTGAAAAATCATTAAATTAGACATTTTACTTCAAGTTTCGATGTTGCTACTATCGGTCAATTTTACCGAAAGAAAAACTAAGGAAGCGGGAATAAACCAAAGGGTTGTGTTTCTGAGTCCTACGTACTATATTAACACAGCCTTCCCTAAGTAGCGGTGCAATCGCAATAATATCGTGATTTTCGGTTCGATAAAATCGCGATAAATTGCCGTCGATTTCATCGAGATCGATAGCGCGATAAGATCCAGGATAATTTATTGAAGCGCTGGGTTCAACAAGGGAATTTCTTGGTTGTGGTTCTCAGAAGCTAACATTTCATCCATTATAATTAAAGCAAATGTATGGAATTCGTTTCAACTTTTACCGAATTTTCTGTATGATTTTACAATGCTGAAAACGAAAATTCCAGAAAATTTAATTAATAATTTCTTCTCTAAAATATAAATTAGCAGTAGATATTCTGAAACACCGCAACCAAGAATTGCCCTTTCAACACCCAACGCCTTAAATTGCTCAGATGTTGAAGACCCTGGTGATTTTATCACCGATGAAATCGCAACTTAATTTTAATTTGTCGAGATTTTTCTATTGAAAAATCCTACCCGGGTTTGCTACTTTTTACTTTTTCTTACTGCGTAGCAGGTTTTGATCTTGAGAAGAAAGTGCTCTTTGTGGATAAGTGCTACTTCACCGATGGTGATTGATATAACACAAAAAAGAAGAGGAGAAAATCTTACTCCTTCATTTTCCCTTCCTCTAAACATAAAATATTTGCTAGAAATCAGAGGCAAATTGAACTGAAACTGTAGGTAATTCATCAATTTTGGCTCCGGAGAGTTTACATCAAGTAGAAATGACGTATGGGTGAGTAAGTTAGGAGCGCGTTCCTCGTTGCACTTATTTTGCAACATTTCATTCTTTTTTCGAATGGAATTAATGATACATATAGTGCCATTTGAGGTTCTAATGAAATTTGGCAGCGTTGAGTATCGATTAATCTCAGCTCCTTACCCGCCGTGTCAGAGCTTCTATGAACGGACGACTGATTTTTGAAACTCGAGAATCATCCAGATTCGAGGAAAGTGTAGAACGTAGAAAAAATATAATTACAACTACCGATCATAAAAAAGAAAAAATAATTGTGCGATTACACGTCTACGAATATACATTCAGTGCAGTTAGGAATTAGCTCCCTAATAATATATTTTAAAGTAGATCCTTTGTATATATTGTAGACTGACAATTTGGGTAGACAATGCCCTTGAATTTAAAAGAAGAAAGTATTGGGAAATGCATGGTCTCTTGGTACGTTTATTTTCTCCATTGATGTTCTATTGTACTTTTCAAAGTTAAGAACGGTATGGTAAAATTTTTAAGATAGATATTTAGGTACTGAAGATTGACATGCTCAATGGAGGGATCTCATGGAAAAGCGGAGAACAAAATCGACAAGGTTGTCGGATGAGAAACCTCAAAGGTACAGAATGAACAATATTGAGCGGTCGCATTGTTGAGTCGGAGGAGACTTTAAAAAATCATCATGCTTCAAAACAAAAGTTATGTCCGTATAGGATAAAGCCCAAATTTCTTGTCAAAAAGATCGCAACTGATTCGTCGTCTCCGAGATAAAGGTGAAAAATATTTATGTATGCTCGAACGAAAATGAAACCCGATTTTTAGCAGCATACCTATTGATTCTATTAAAAATATCAGTCTAGTATGAACATGACGAGAAGTGGTCTACGTGCTGCGCAACTCTAAGAAAGGAAGAGCTCAGTCCCAGTCCTAACATCTGAAAGATCACTCCAATATTATACGTAAGGGAAGGTTGCATACTTTGCCTGAATTAAAATGGGAGAAGGTTCAAATAGAGGAATTCAGGGGTTGTAAATTAAAATAAAAAATAGCTGAGTGCGCGTGAATAATAATTTAATGTAATTTTAGTGAACAGATTAGGTTAACGCAAATAATTAACTCTTGATTTTATGAGCATCAAGGCCGGACTAGCCGGCCTTCATAGTTCTTTTCCTATTATTATTTTCAAATTTGTTTTCTCTGCGAGTGCCTGATCAAATCTATTGGGGCCTCTAGAATTTTTTGAGGATTGGAGAGGTCCAGAAACTGGGGCTTCAAGGGACATGAGGCCTGTAAAATCCGTGTTTTGCAAAACCTAGGACTGAAATTTCGGTGGACCTCTGAAATTATGATTAGCGTGGCCCCTTAAAAACCACAACTCTTTCTAGGGCCCGAAGGCTCCTAAGTCAGTGGGTAGTTTTTGATCTCCTGTGCCCAAATTAAGGGCATCTGGGACCTTTTGTTTTCTTGGGAACGTCAACCGCCTTCAATTTACGAAGTATGCAACTCGCACTATGCGGGCCCTTTTACTCGCAAGTATCCCGGGCCCGCGCCTGGGCCCCTGATGAGCATGATGAGGTGGATATGATTTAAGAAATCAAATGTTTACGATTTTTTGCATTAAAAGTTGGGAAGTTTAAGATGAAACGGTCCTCATAAATGGACGTACTTATGCCAAAAGGAACTAGGGTTTTCGTGAAACATAGTTCCTTTCAGCATAAATACGTCCATATTTTCCGCATGGTTAATTCAGGTAGGTATCTGCGACCGAAACTGATTCAGTGTCAATCGGCGCAGAGATTCCAGGGAACAAATTAAACGATCATGAAAGATAGCATTAACCTATATACCGAGCTCTGCCTTTCTTACAGTTGAACGAACTCATATGAGATCTAGTATATACAGGTAGTGAACGGTTTAACTTGCCAGCAAGTTATCTTAATGGATATATAAAAGTAATTAAATTAAGTATAAAAACATTTAGTAAAATAGAGTACGATCAGTAACTGAATATAAATATGATAGTGGAAAAAAAGAATCAAAGGAAAGAGAGTGAACAAGGGACTGGGGGCTACAATTGAAAAATATCCTTTTCAAATTAACAATTCATAGTACCTACCTAAACTATTATCAGCCACAAGTCCAAAAAACTACACACCTCTTTAACAAAGACATGTATTTAATTTAAGTTTCGTATAAAAGAGGTTATTCAAAACATAAAAAAATGAAATAACCCCTCTCAATTTTGCAAAGATGATGGGAAACTAATTGACTGTCATTTTAAACTTCTATATTTTTTTTTGTCAAACCGACCTGCTGTTTGACTTGTCAGATAATTGATTAAGACGAAAATACGTCAGTGAATACTATAATATTGAAAGTAACAAATGATACAATTTGTAACTATGAAATAAACCCGCAACCTATACTGATGCAGCTACAAGTATGATCTCTTGTTTAAATTTCTACTTATTTCCTCTTTCATCTTGATGAGTGTACGTACAAAAAAATATAAAGGTAGGTGTGTATTGACTAATGAATCATTTGGTCGTTAGTGTAAAAATTTTATGAAACTACGAAAAGTCGATGTCTCGATTACTTTTACAGTATAATTACTACGGTGCTTAAGTGCTGACGGATTTTTTCTCTCACGATTCTGTTTGATGAGGGTTTCGGTTTATTATGAGACATGCCACTATCACTATTTTCTACCCAATTACTCAGTCATATTTTCAAAAGCGGTTTCTCTACAGCTATCCATCATTAAAATCCGAGATTAATAATATAATAAAATAAAACAAAGTTTGCCGGATATCGCTTACAGACAAGTGCCCTTTATGTTCAATGTGAAGATGGATTTTTACCATTTTGGGGGGGGGGGTCGATGAAATGGTCAAAACAGACCCACGTGACTCCCTATTTACAGTTCGAGGGCTTTGTGCATTGATGAAATTTGAGGAAAATTGGCCGGCATTTACCCGCATTTTACTAATTAAAATTACAACTCTTGTTAGGTTATTGAGCATAGTTCTTTTTTTTTCTCATTCATTCATTCATTGCTGATTCGTTTCTTTCATTTTTCTTTTCTTTGTGGGCCTCTAATTGGGCTGCATTTTTTATAAAGGAACTAATATTTCTAGCTCATTTTAAATTAAAACGTATGTGGCATTAGTTTCCCTAAGTTGATAGGTGCTTTTATGGATGAGCCGGAAGCAGTGCATAGCGCCTCAGTGCGAAATGTAGTCCAATATTTACACACACAGATTTTGAATTCACACCATGCCGCGTGGGCACTGGAAATTAGAGAGATTGAGGGAACATAAAAAAGGCTAAATATTGGTCCCATTACGTAAGAACCATAGCCTCATATTCAAATATCATGGAAAAATAAAATGCTATCGTCTCACTTCACGGTTGTGAAGAAATCCCAATATTTTGTCCGTGTTTTCAATGGAAATTTCTTTGTAAGAGGCGTTGACCGGGTGAAAACACGACATGGACTATGGTGACCAGTTTGAGTGACGCCATAACCAAACAGGCAGGTTGTTTGGTTGGTCAAGGACTTGGTCGAAATTGTTGCATCAGCAAAGTTTATGCAGTTTTCTTTAAATTAGATACGAAACTCATTCTTACGACCTGTCTTTGCTGTCCATTTCGCCGAATCTTTTAAGTTCTGCTCGTATCTGAAAATCGGAAAATTTTATCGTAAAACCCTAAGACGTCGTGCTTGCCAACCTCCACAAAAGTTAGCTGTTAAACCGAAACTGGCCACCATTGCCCGTAACAGTGGCGAGGCGTGAGTAATCGATTATCGATATTTCCCCATTTGAAGCTGTGGTCAAGAATCGATTGTTAAGCTGTTCGTTGCGAACATCCTGTTTATCGATCCTTTTCCATAGGTTTAAAAGGCAGATCAATCGATATATCGCAAAGTGCGTCACGCCACTGGTTCGTAACAATGAACGGTTTCTCTCGATCCTTTTTCGGCAATTTAATGCATCAAGTAAACGCTGCTTAAATGGTTCGATGCTTTCACAGGGAGGTTGTTCAGGAGCTCACATTTCGAACAATTTTGGGCCTGGCGCTCTGTTCTGCCGTTCTGCGAGGGTCGAAGATAGCTCACGGCATCTAAGGCGGCGACACCTGGACCCGCAGCATGGCGGAGTGGTGCGTGTTGCGTCGTGTGGTTTTGTAGGCGCGGGGCGCTCACAGTATCGTGCAGACGGAGCCGTGCATGACCTCCGTGGAGATGAACATGGGCGTGCTGGCGGCCAGACCTCCGTCCGTTTTCTCAAGCTCGTTGTCCCGGTCGTATTCACAGTCGAAATACCGGCTCTGAAATATTTCAAAACATTATCAGTTGACGTCTCATTACTATCAGGTCTTGTCTCCACGGGGCGTTTCATGGGATTTGTCCCATGGAAAGATCTCACTTGCGATGTTGAGAAAAATATTGAGTTGGTCAAAACTGCTTGCTAAGGAAAAACGCCGTGAGAACATTCGAGAGTTGCCAAACTTCCTTCACTAAAATGTTCTTTTTTGAGGAAATTTATGAATTTTTTCCCCTGAAATTTTCAGAAAGTTTGGGTGAAATAGCGAACAAAATTATGTGAAAAATTGGAAGAAAAATATTCATAAGTATACCAGGAAAGTCGCGTTTTATCAAAGGAAATTTGGCAACGCCTAAAGACTCATACGGCGTTTTTCCTTAGCACAGCCTGAGACACCGAGTTCAGAAAATCCATCGAACAGGAGCCGACATAGCATTTTAGGCCACGTCCGCCATCTTGGATTTGAGAATTTTCAAAATTGGCTAAAATTCGAGTTTCCCGTCGAAAAATACCTCCTTACACCGAATTTCAGAAAAATCCATCGAACAGGAGCCGAGATAGCATTTTAAGTCATTTCGGATTTTCGAATTTTAATTTTTTTGAATTTTGACAGATTCTGATTTAAAACGCGTGATCCCCAAAATCGAAGCTCAGATTCGGATTCCTTGTAAAAAATCGATGTGATTTCATGTATCATATCCTGACACCGAATTTCAGGAGAATCCATCGAACAGGAGCTGAGATGGCATTTTAAGCCACTTCAGTCATTTCGGATTTTTGAAGTTGAAAAATTGTACTTAAAACGCGTGATACCCAAAATCGAAGTTCAGATTCGGATTCCTCGTTAAAAATTGATACAATTTCATGTATCATACCCGAGCATAGCGTGAAGGAAAGAGACGTAACGTATAGACATACTGATTCGAGCATATGAATCCAACGTGGCAACATGGTAGTGCTCAGTGGGTCAGCGGAGGAGGAAGAATAAGAATTTATCGTGAGGACCTCGGGACGAAACCGAACGCTATAAGCGCCGGCCGGCGGCGCCTCCCCGTTCGGTTGCATCTCGGGCGACCCGCGCGGCGGCGTAGTTCAAACGGGTAGTATGACAGAATCTATACGCGTCGTTAAACCTTTTTCCTTCAAGCTATTTTAACATATAATACATGAAATCTCATCAATTTTTCACGAGAAATCCGAATCTGAGCTTAGATTTTCGATATTACGCGTTTTAATCTATTTAAAATCGTAAGAGAATTTACAGAATTGTCCTTGAAAATTGATCACACAATAGTGTTTTTTTACGTCATTAAACCTTTTTCCTTCACGCTATTCTAAAATTTGATGCATGAAATCGCATCAGTTTTTTACGAGGAATCCGAATCTGAGCTTAGATTTTCGATACTACGCGTTTTAATCTATTTAAAATCTCAGGAGAAATTACAGAATTGTCCTTGAAAATTGATCACACATTAGTGATTTTTTACCCCGTTGTTCTTCTACGTTCACGTAATGAAATTAGATCAACAGTTGACTCATCGACTAGTCTAGCCCAACCCCCCAGAATCGGTCTAAAGGGCGAACGATTTTATCAGATAAGATGTGCGGTCCTAGTTTCCGGGCAATTGCGGTTTGATGGAAGCTGCGATGAGGAGAAACGGAAGATATGCGAAACTCGAGCGGATATTAAGTGAGAAACCAGATAGGGGAAAGGCTTTCTTCCCGAAAAGTTAGTGCTCGGGCCAACTTACATGGTCACTGGAGCATTGTATAGCAGGTTGTGGGAAACTATTTTTTTGCAGCAACAACCAATCGGATTGCATTTTGCAAAAAGGAACTAAGAGCATTTCAATGTTGCTGGGATTGTGCAACTTAGGTACATTCTTTGCAAAAAGTAAACTTTGCGATGGTAATTTTCGTCTTGAATTCATAGTTTATTGGGAGTAGAGGTGAAACTACTTTAGATGATCGTTTATGTTTGCAAGGTTAGCGACATTGGAATGCTCTTTCACAGGTACAAAATTTGCACCATCAGAACTAAATTAGACGTATGTATGCTAATGTAGAATGAAGTATGTTGCACGTAAACCCTATGCACATAGTTCCTTTCATCATAAATATACGTCCATAATTCCAATTCCGATAAAATTGTGTTTTTTTACTCAATATAACCACTAGGAATCCCGGACAGAATTTTTTTTATCCAAAACTTTTTTTTTGTACTCGTAGTCATTCTTTATCTTTCTTTTCAAATCGAAAATGTAGATAGCCATAGACGCTACGTTCGTAACTACTACCACCAGATGGAACCTTTCTAATAATTTCAATCTAGTGAACGAGCACGGTAGAATACGAATCACAGGACAAAGTATTGAGTCCTTGTGGAGTCCTAGGAGCGGCTCATGAGAGTAGAGGAGGAAATTTTGTTGTTTTGTTGAACGAAGAAAAAGCCCGGAATCTTCATTCCTGTTATTCGAACTTGGGACAAATCCCATGAAACGTCCGTGGAGACAAGGCCTAAGCTCTCTGACTGCGATACCTAGACGTTCGTTTTTTGACATGATCAAACAGATTTGGTCACACTGTCAATTTTTCGTCGATTTAAACCGAAAATAACGTCCATTCAACGGCCCACTATAGAGTAATGGTCTGGCTGTTAGTAACAGCCAGTCCATAGCATGCATTAGTATAACAGCCTCTTACGGTATATTTTTGGTTTATATTGACCAAAATATTGAAAGTAATATGCGTTACCATGATACTTACTATCAGTGTTTTTATAGCAAAAGAAATTTAATTTATTTTTTCTTGCCTTTTTATTTTTTGCTATCGATTTCTATTTTCTGAGGTGTTAATGGCCTACGTTTTGTTAAAGCACCCATAAATAAACGTATTAATCAACCAGCCTTGCTTGAGTATAAATGTTGGAATTGATTTGAATTTCGTGATGCTTATGATATAATAGTTTTTTAGGCCTGTTTTGTCAATAGACAAATGTAATTACTGGATGAATTTTTGGCACGCTTTTAAAACCACGAAATTTCATGTTTTCCCTGCAAATTCTCTGCATTAGTATACAGGATGTTCCAGGATTAAACCGCCAAACTACAAGAGCGTGTTCTATGAGTGAAAAGTGAGACATCTTTCTTCAATAAAGTTTTACTCGGAAAAGCCACCTTCACCGAAGGTATTATGTCCCCCTGATTTTTTTTGGAAAATTATCGTTTCTTCTGAATTGGCAACGGTTATGGTCCAAACCCCATGAAAAAAGGGCTGGCCGTCCTAACTTCTAGTGCTGAATTCATCTAGGATCTCAATTAATGGAAAACTCAAATTAAAAGGGGGGTTCAAGAGGTCTTGAATCTGATAGAGCAGAAAACTTCGAATTTTGGCCAAGAAACCTCCCTAATACTGGAGATATCAGTATTTTTCAGGCCATGAGTGAATTCAGCGCTACAAGTTAGTAAGGGCTAGCCATTTTTTATTAGTTTTGGTCCATAACAGTTACCAATATCTAGAAAAACGATGCTTTTCCTGAAAAATTGAGGGGGGGGGATACCGTCTGTAGGGTTTTTTTTTTTTTTTTTTTTTTTTTTTGGAAAAAACTTCATAGAAGAAACAACTTTTTTTTTACCCATGGAACACGCTCGTCACTTCTGTAGTATGGCTGTTTGACCGTATGGAATACCCTGTATAGTGTGCATTCATCAAGTTTTCTTGCTGATTTTTCCCGCATAGTAAATTAGAATCGCCCATTTTTTTCTGATACAGTGTCGTCCATTAATCACCATGTCAATCACGAGTCATGTGTGAGGAAAATGAGCCGTTGAAGATAGAGAATACGGCCATGAGTGACACAGCGCGGCTAAAGCGATTGATATGAATTGGAAACGGAATACGAAAATTGGTATGAGGCCGGACTAGTGGCGATATAACAAAAGCGGGTGTTCTCACTTGGAGAGACTTCTAGGCTGACCCATCAGGAATCGAGGATAACCATCATAAGCATGCAGCAAAGTTCGTTTCACAGTGAAAACACGTTCACCGAAAACCAGAGGTGAACTGCAAAACAGCGCATCCCGGTTTGCGATGTTGCAGATTTCCCGTTATAATTTATGTTTATGATGAAAAAACACTCATCCTCATCGTTCGAAAAATTTTCTCATTCTCTCCACTCCTACATAAAGATACTGTGAAAATGTCAAGCTATAATCTTGGCTTGTCCTCCTTTTATAAAATTAAAGAATATTTTGAAACCCAGGAAATGAGATACGCGTTCTCGCAGTTTCACCGATGAAATGCAATGGTGTAGGTATAATTTTCTGAGTAAATTCCTCTAGAATTCACAATTCCATCGCGATGGATTTTTTTCATGTGAAAGTTTGAAGGTTCTTTGCTCGCACGGTCATTAAATTATTTCCTAATTTTCCTAAATGCAAATTGAAGCAAGTCCACGGTGAAAATACTTAATCACGTACCTCGGGTTTGCTACGAGCCAAGTCTCCTGTTATACATTTCACTTTTCTAAACAAAAACCTGATCGCTTTTACGCAAAACTCTAATTTTCCTTCGTCCTTTGAACGATATTCTCTGAAAATTTCGCGCAAAAGAGTCGAAGAATATTTTCTCGAAAAAATACAATTTAAACGGGAATTTGAAACATCGCAAACGGGACCCGTGGTGTGGTATTTTTGTCATCGACACTTTTTCCTTGAAAAGGGGATCGGTGGGTAACTTTCAATTTAAGCACTGAAATCCCCGCGTATATGGGTGGAGGGGCGGGGGCAGGGATCACCTATTTTGTCCCTCGTTCATTCCGTTTGAAGCGGGCAACTGGGACTAGGGGCTCTAACCCGCCCGAACGTGCGCACAGGGATAGGGGTGACTCTTTCCTGGAATCCTGGAATTACAATCGGGGAACGTCTTGTCACAGTATGTGCGAGACACACTTCTCTATAATTTGATCAGGTTTTTGGAGGGTGAGGGGTGGTAGGTATTTATATTATAATACACTCAAAATGTGACTATTATTTGAACTACATTTTGAAACCAGGAATTAAAATTTTTGGCTCAGTCTAGAAAGGACGTATGTACCATTAGTTTTCCTACGCACATAAGTATTTTTACGGATGAGCTAGAAATTGTAGCTCCAATAGCAAAAAGGAAGTCCATCTACAAATTATTCAAACCGAAAATTTCAAAATTCAGTCTTCCGGATATACTATAAGCAAATAATTCAATACAAGGCACCTCACTGAATGCCTAATGCAAATGATGCTTACCTATTATGCAATCAATTATGGCGGTTTCCAATATTAGAAAAACTTATTAAACATAGTGCAAGCTTGGCTCATTAAGCAGTTTCCTCAGTCTGATTGTTGACATTTATGTCGGCACGACAAGAATCGAAAATCGATACGTTACAAGGCGCAGATAGGGCTGTGTCTTATCTTATCTTGCCGCCATAAAGTTAAAGTTTCAACAATGAGCTGCAATTTCTAGCTCATCCGTAAAAACACTTATGTGCGTAGGAAAACTAATGGTACATACGTGCTTTCTAAACTGAGCCAGAAGTTCCAGCTCCTGTTTTCAAAATGTAGTCAAAAAAATGGTCACTTTTTGAGTAAATTACAGTACCCTAGTAAAAATTGGCAGTAGAATCTGTGCTCCAAAATACCATAGACCTACAGCCGGCTGTAAGATTTCCAATAGCTTCTATAGCCGGCAACACAATTTCTTATAGCCTTTTATAGCCGATGGCGATTAAACAACAGCCGGGCGATAAAGTGTAACCTAAACGTTACTAATTACGGATGCTAGGACTTAGTGAGTTTTTGGACTACCGCTCTCTTTTTGGGCCGCAGTATCTTGATTTAATTTGCGAGGAAAGCTCCGTACTTTTGAAGGATGCCTGCCATTCCTTATATGTTTGAGCGCCTTCAATTTTGTATGATACTGTGCAATACCTCTGGTGTGAAATAGTTGCTTCAAGCGCCGCGATACCCTGCGGCGCGACGCGACGCGGCGGGCGGACAGCCAGCGCTGAACGCGCACTGGCGCCTACAAACCTAACAGGGATACTTCACGCATTGCGCAATGCGTGAAGTATCCCTGTTAGGTTTGTAGGCGCCGTTGCGCCGCCGCTCCGCTTTTTGTTAGGCTCTAATATTTAATCTTGCGGAGTCAGCGTTTTTCAACTAATGACTTTGAAATGTTTGCACACTCTGTATGGATTATTCTCATTTTAATTGATGAAAAAAAAATATGTAGTAAGAGAAAATATAATGTGCGTTTTGTAAATATTACGGTGATTCCGTACAAACTTAAGGATTTACAAAGCACAAGAATTTCTACACCATTTCTTATATCCCTTTATAGCCGATGGCGAAAAAGCAACAGCCAGGCGATAAAGTGTAAAGCCCGGCGATCGGAACTATAGCCCGGCTGTATAATTTTTTATCGCCTCGTGTAGCCCGGCCGTATGATTTTTTCCACTTTCTACAGCCAGCTATATGATTTTCTATCGCCCTCTTCAGTCGGCTATAAGAACTCCTATGGTATTTTGAAACGCAGCTCCTATCGCCAATTTTTACAAGGGTATGCGCGGCACTTAAATATTTTTAACCATATTCTTTTATACAAACCGTTCTTTTACTTCATCCTTTTACCATTCTTTAACCATTCTTTCATTCTTTTAAAAAACTCCAACATTCTTTTCTGTATATATTATTCTACCTCTCCATCTCTATTATTAATACATACTATCATTAGTAAATATTTATACCTAAATCATATATTTAATAATATTAAGTTTAAGACACAAAGTTAAAGTTTCAACAATGAGGCTGCAGACGAAGCGAAAAAAAGTGTTCGTGCAAATTCTCCACATTTCATTTTTCACTATATTCATTTTTGATAGCGATTTTGTCGGGTGCAACAACAAATCTTTTCCTCAGCCTGAAAGTGAAAGGTGTCTCGATTAGTGTCGGTGTATCAAGGACGATGGTATTACCTGGCATTCGATACAGCGACAGTGATCGCTCATCTTGCAAGTGATGCCCCACTCGGCGGCGACGGCTTTGTAGAACTCCTTGCAGCTCTTGTGGACGATCTCCTGGCGCTTGACCGGGGCCGAGACCGAGGTGCGCGCCAGCTCCCCGTTCGCCCGCGTCTCCCGCGACGACTCCGAATGGTTCGACCCGATCGACGTCGACTCGCTTCGCTCCGATTCCATTTCCTCCTGCTAACAGACGAAACGGAAAATGCATCTAAACTAACACTGCGGTAAGGCGTGTGGTATCAGGCGAAAATGAAGGCGCGCTTGATACGATGACCACGCAGCCGTGCCACGGAGGAACACGAAACGGAAAATGCATCTAAAATAACACTGCGGTAAGGCGTGTGGTATCAGGCGAAAATGAAGGCGCGCTTGATACGATGACCACGCAGCCGTGCTAAGGAAGAACGCCGTATGAAAATTCGAGAGTTACCAATTTTCTCTTGATAAAACATGTATTGTGGACAACATTCATGCATACTTCTCCTTGTAATTTTCAGATATTTTAGATATTTTAAAGTGGGTACAAAATTGTCTGACAATTTGGGACAAAAATTTTTCACAATTTCCCCTATAAATTCGGTTTTTATCGAAGGGAACTTGGCAACGACTGAAAGTTCATACGGCGTTCTTCCTTAGCACGGTAGCACGGGTAAGTGCTTCAGCCTCTCCGCCTTTGCGAAATCGTGCACCTAAAACGCTACAAGTAGTTCCTCCGATAAGATGTTTATTTTTGTGGAGTGTTACGAATATTTTTTCTCAGGATTCTCAGGTCATTTAGATGTGGTTGCGAATGAATATCTCTGGAATGTTCGTGGAAAAATATTCACAGAATTGCATGAAAATTCGTATTTTAACAAAGGAAATTTGGCGATATCTAAAAGCTCATATGAAAATTTTTCGTAGCACGGCAGTATTCTCTCTCATTGAAGATCGTATCTTACGGAATGCATCATAATTTGGTGATTTTTGGTGTCTCGTCGGGTCTAATACCACCCTAACATGGGTCTGAAGGTCAATTTATCGAAAAATCTCAAGACAGCAAATCCACCAAACTTGCATTTTTCGCAAAAATAAGCCTCGAAACCCATATTTAAGCCAGTGTTGAGTCCAAAAAGAGTCCAAAAATGACCGAATCATAATGCACTCTATAAAATATAGGTCTTCAATGAGCAAAAAAATCGCGTATGAAGTTGCGAAAATTCAAGGTGGGCCCAGGAACGCCCCTAATCGATACCCCTCCTTTGGCTCGTGAAAAATTACATCCCAGCCCGGCGAAAATGCCTTCCCTTTGCTCCAATTTATCGATACAGGAAAAGATGATGCTTGGAAATGGCGGAATAATGATTGAAATTTCGCCTGTTTAATTTCCCTTTTCACCGAGGCGAAACTTGAAGGTGGGCTACTGAAGCTTTTAAGGACGGGAAACGGAGGGAAAAGGCTGGGAGCGTAGACGCGGGAATCCTCTCAGGGCGGTGTAACCGTTAATGGAGCCTCAATCAAACAAGGATCTCAACCCATTTTCTCTCGCTCTCAACCCTGCTTCATCGTCCCTTCCTCCTCCT